TCAATATATCAGCCAGAATACTCAAATTTTAGACCGGGAAGCCATATCCAACCATTGAAAGATACTAAATGCCTTGTTTGAGAGAGCACTGTGGTATTTGCATAGTAAATGTATGGCTTCTGTTTCTTTATCAACTATAGTGTGTTACCTTGGTTAGCTGTATTTTTATGCTCACTAGTCTGCTTGATTGTGGTATTATTAGATAATATTTGCTTTCAATTAAAGGTCAGTAATCAAAGATAATTTTAGGGAGGATCTACAAAAGTTGTTGACAAAACGTTTATCCTTTTTTGTTTTATGCTAAAGGATTCTGTAATCCAAAGTAATACATTCATTTTACTTTTTGAATAAACCAAACTTCTTTAACAATAATCATTCTTCTTTTCGAGAAGATTGGTTGTCCTAGTGCTTTCACAGGTTTTGCATCAGATGTTAACCCAGTCTTTTAAGAAAAAGAAACTTGATTATAAAATAGGTTTATTCCAGGCTGAAAAGAGAAGAAAGGAAACAGTTTCATTTGCCTCATATTGACCATATTAAATATGAAAAAATAAACTTCAACCCATCTGCAGTCCCAGATTACAGGTTTCATGGCCAGTTTTCTGGCAGAACAAGACTTCTTTGAGCAAAATCTTTACAGTAATTACTGGATTGGGATTTTGCAACTGGAGAGAGGCTTTAAAGTTGTATTTTAATCCAATGTTTAATTGTTTTCTTATTAAACATTAATGAAGGGATACAATATATTAATAAAGGGTGTTATGATAAGTAAAACTTTTGTTATATCTGGGAAAAAAAATCCCAATCTTTTTGGGAGTTCCATTCCTGTACAGGGCTGTGTTATTTCAGGAGTTCTTTTATAGAAGCTATTTCAAATTTAAGGATCGTTTTGGCAAGCAAATTCCACTTGTAAAAGTGAAGTTCCTTGAAAACTTTTGATTTTTCAATTGGCATTGCAGAAATTCTATGTTCCAGAGAATTACGACTACTACTTATTGTATCTACCGACAATATAAACAGCAGCCTTGACTTAAATTTATTCATTACATAAATATCTCCAATGTGAAAGATTAAAAAACACCAAGTTCCAAATCATATTAGTAGATCTACTGTGCTTACAGGTCTTTGCATATGTAAAGACATTGCAGCCATTTGTTTGTTTATGAAAATCAGTTGTCTTTTACCCATTCACATGCAGTATCTGCTGTTTCTGATGTGTTTTAACCTTGAGAAAGAAGAGCTCATACAATCCAACCCACCTACAGTACGCTCTCTGCTACCAATGATATCACAGTGCTCAGGAACACCTTCAAGTCTTTGAGGATCTCAAGGCGCCTGCCCTAAAGTTAGGTAAGATATACATTTCCATTGCCTTAGAAAAGAAGAGAAGAGATCGTACATACTAAGTTTCATAGTGAGGTTTGCGTTTCAGAAAACTGTTCGTAAATATCATTAAATGAAAATACCTTCCGGTTTCATACCAGAATTAATACTGCAAGGTACAGGACTAATGTGCTCCGTACATGCGCTACAACACTACACTCGTGCGATTTCATGTGCTCACCCATCTCGGTTTTAAATGATTCCTGTTTTTCAGGGATTTCCTTTAAAAAAAACATAGGATTTGGTCAGTTCTCTGCAATTCGATTGTTCGTTTTCAAAAACTTGTTCACTTTAGATTGGAAATTTATTCTACGATCCATCTATCCATATATGTATTTAATATTTGACTCCTAGAATAAATGACAGTACTCCACATACCTCTGATACATCAAGTTTTTAAAAACCTCATGTCAGAAGCATGGAAATCATTTATAAGTTACGTTAGGGGTGACCATTTTTTTCTACGCAAATACTTTATATAATCTTCTTTACCAGTCGAAAAAGAGACCAGGAAAAGCAAATATTTTTGTTTGCAAATATCTAGTTAAGTAGGGAAACACAAATCAACCCCGATTATTCAAAGAGGACATTACAGCAGGCTCTGATGTTAGGATGGTGTGATTAATGTGTTTCACTTAATTGTTTCTGGACAGCTACAGTAAGTAGATGAGAACAAATATCAGTCGGACCTATGAGGTTCTGTTGCGCTATTTTCCCCTGTGCTGTTCAGTTCTGTATAATCACCTAGTGTACATTTTTTATAAACATGTTCATGCGTGAATGTTCATAGATCTACCATACAATAAGCATTTCGTCATTTAGAATAAAGGTATTCAATTATTCAAAATGCAACTATGATGAAAACTATTACATAAACAGCTGTTTACCGATATTTTAACACGTTAAAATTGAATACTGGTATTTGCGTGTCATTCTCAGTCACGTCAGTTAATAAACAGGTTATTGAATGGACTCAGGAAACGCCTGGTGTCGTGTTCATTTTTAAATCCCAGTGCAAGAGAAGTTTGTATTGGAATGTCTTCTGCACCACAGAAAATTGCATCAACGTCTCCTGTGCATTTCCTCATTCACATTTTCAGCCTTCAGTCCGCCAGCGTCTCTGGGATCGACTTGCCGATAAATTGCGGGTGGTTTCTCTCATTATTCTTTTAATAACGCAAGCGCCCAAAGGATTAGTTGACCTGTGAACTGCTTCGACACACCATCTTTCCTATTCTCAAGACCTCCAGGTAAAATGACCTACTCCCAAATCTTAGATCTTTACTTAGAAACGATTTTATCAACTGTATTGTTGTTTCTGGTTATTATTGGATTCGATAGGAAGACGTTTTAATAAGTCTTACAATTATGTTGGTACTTTTAAACGTTTTAGAGAGATAAAATAGGTCAATATATAATTTAGTTTTCACGATTTCACAGTTAGAGTACTGTAAAGCGAAACAGCACAAGGTAGATGCTGGAGCCGGGCATACCCAGGTGAACTGCGCGCTAAAAACTACACAGAGTAAACCACACAACGTATAGCAATGAAAATAATTTTCTAAAACCAAAAATCAAAAGCAGAATCAAAGCAGTAGGCCTGTGGTATATATAAATGTAAATATTGTGTTCGTGTTGGGTTTTGTCAAAGCCGAATATTTCACAATGAATGTAGTATGCTTATTCATGTATTAAAAAACCCGGCTATTTTCCAGAAGAAAGCGTAATTATCAGAAAGCGTGGGAGCTCCCTCTTGTGTGCATTCAGAAAACTAGCCGCACCTGCTCAGAGCTTGCGCTTTCTTCCTTCACAAAGAGAAAATAAAGGAGACCGAGCAGAATGAATGCTTTCGGGGGACGTTGAAGTGTAGTTTACAAAACAATGTAAAAAAAAAATTTTGTGGTGTAAACAAGGTTTAAATGTAACAGCACTGAAGCAAACTTCATATTTATTTTTGAAACCTCTTGCAAAACAGAAGCTTCTTTAGATGTTGATGATTAATAAACATGGACATGAAAATCTCTCCTTTTCAAGGGATAGTGGTGAATATGTTGTGTGATGTTTAAACCCAGTTAAAGTAAGGGTACTTTAGGTTGGCCAGATTCTAGAACCATTTTTCTACCGAGCATATGTTATTTTATACAGTATATACTGTAGTACATTTCACATGCAAAAGTTATGTTTTGGGTATGCTGTGTAATTCCATACATTTCTCCAGTGGAGTAAAATATTGAAGTCGCAAATCTGCAACAAAGGTGAAGCTGGTACTCGATGAGCCTAACAGTACATCCTGCGTGCACTTTGGAACCTAGATGAAATTGTCCAAAAAACAGAATTGAACTGTTTAGATTATCTTGGACTGCAACACCCCTTTCCGCTCAAGCGAGCTGTGGTGTGCGACCGAGGACCCAGTGCCGCAAAACTTTCTTCAAAGCGCGTTGCAGTTTCTACAGGACGTGAAATAGAGGGAAGGGGAGTCGAAACAGCTCTTACGGTTGTAATAACAGTGCTCCGTGTATTCATTTGCCTTTTTTTCTGCTGTCAAATATTTAAAACGTGTGAGTGAAGGCATATCGAGACCCTCATGCACCATTCTTGTTTTGTCACTTCCACCGGGCAAAATATCGTTATTCGTGATAAATGAAACAAACACGGTTGGAGTCATTCATTAATGTGTCGAGGAAGAAATAAAAGTTACCATGACATTCAGCTGTTCACGGGTGAGATTTTGTTTTAAAATGTCCATCTTCGCTTTTGTTTTTTCTTTATCATTAGTTTAGGCGCTGTGGGAAACGCGCCTCAAAGCACTTGTTTGAGTTTAGATGAATACGTTCTCTTTTTATGGTCCGCATGAAGCCACTGCCTTCTCTTTCAATATATATATATGTGTGTGATTTAAAGGCTGAGTTTTGGGGATGCCCCATTGCAACACAAGGTTGTCACACGAGATATAATCCCGCAGAATGACAAACATGTTGTGACATTTAGTGGGGAGTTTTCACTCCGCGGATCACCTGCTCCTGTCGCTCTTCAACTGGGTGAGCGAACCTACAACAAGGTCAGCCAGCTCGGAAATCCTTCGTACTTAAGGTGGCCTTGGTGCATTCAGAATAATTTTATTTGCAATGACACGTCAATTAAGACCGAACAAAAGATGCCGCGTGGCGGTTTGACAAGTTTATGAAACCACAAAAACATTTTCAAGCATTGCGCATAAAATCGATCAATGACCATTTTTTAAAAAGTTATTTGATCAGCAGGGACTGAAAGTTGTGAAAGCATGCATTCTTAAATATAAACCGGGGAATTCTTGGTTGCATCAATTCTCCCGTGCTGCAATTACGTTGATATTAAAATGTTGATGGAGAAAGCTACCTGCAATGTACGCAAAATGAAAAATAAAATTAGGTCCAACTATTACAGTATTTACATAAGATTCATGTTTTTCAAGATACTGCCTGGTATGACGAATTTTTATTTTACATGTTTTAATTAAAATGTTTTATCGCTCATGTACAGTAACTGAACAGTATTTATTCAACAGTCACGTGGAATCTCTTCTCCAGCTGCAAGACTTTTATAATGCTGGGATATAGACTGCAGCCTTATCTTAAGTTCCGTTTAATGGAGTCGAGTAGATCCTGCTACAATGAAGCTCTTTGAGTTCTTTGGATTGTTCAGGCATAGATAGTCGGTGGGAAACAAGATCTTGCCCAATGCAACAGTGCGAGACCTTCCTACATCTTGCACTTTTTTGAAGTACCAGGTGAAACCGCGAATTCCGGATCGCTCTTACTCTTTTTCATTCACTTTCCTCTTTACATAGTGTCACTCCGATAGGAGTGGCGATGCTAGAGGATAAAACGGGCCAAAGTTCGTCGCTTCACCACACTTCTAGGATTAAGCTTATTGTAGTACAAGAGAAAAGGCTTACTGCGTTGGTGCTAAGCTCGAAAGCAAGATCAATAAAATAGTTGCCCTGGTTTAACACCGGGGTCGGCGCTCCGGGTGACATGGATGAAAATGGAACTGGTCACCGGAAAACATCTGAAAGGGATGATGCCAGGGAGGCTTGTGAGTATAATATTTGTGTCATTTTATACATAAGAGTTGTAACAATATCTGAAGCTTGGAAAAAGTCAGATAATGTGTTATTCAAGTAATCGGTTAGGTAGTGGAAAGGACATGCGATCTGGTAAATGCAACAGATATCTGACTTGAGTTTACAAATTCAAGTTGAATATATACTATCCTTTCTATGGGGTGAGATAAAATGCGGCATTCTTAGGATATGTTTGGATATGACCTCTTTTTTGTATATATTAAAAACTCCTACAAGACCATGGATGTTTTTTTTTCTAGTTGTTACTAAGTGTACAACACTTAATTTTGATTTTATGTTTTCAAACGTCGAAAATGCTCGCGTCAGCACCGAATGTTGTAAGTCGCGTATCCGAATTCCAAGGAGAATTTGGTGATTCTAATATTAGATCCAAGGAAGTTCCTTTCTGACTTCTTTTTTTTTCTAACTTCGATTCCCACGGAGACTCGCTCTAATCCTCGCGTCTGCTTATTTAAACTGCCAAACACTGTACTGGAGTGAAGCCCAAGTTTAAAATCTAACAGGGAACACAAGTCAGAGCATAAGCGAGCCCCGAGTCAGAGATATCAGCTTGATAGAAACCAGCTGGATTGTAGTTTAGTCATAGTGGATATGCTCTTCTTTTCTCCTTCAGGAGAAAGGCACCATCCGGTTTAGGGTCAAAAAGAGTCAAAAGAACATTTCTCATACTGTACTCAACAAAAAAAATAAACATGACTTTTGGATCTCTGCAGAATGACCTATGTTAAATATTTAAAGTCCAAATGATCAGCTCAACAATTTTTTTACAAGACAGATGGATTTAATTATTGACTATGGATTAATAATTTTATTAGCAATTATATTTTCGTTTAACCATTGTAAGCTTTGTATTTTGTGCTCATCATTACCAACATGTCTAAAAGACATAATAATATAAATATTTAGATGAATTTATTTAAATTTTATATGTTATTTGGTTAGCTAAACTTAGCACATTGTACAGAAAGTTTTTTTTTTTCTGAGTTACATGCCATACACCCGATCACAGGGAAAAATTAAGTTTATCTGTTACTTTTTGCTGTATCTCACAGTACTTTTTGTTAACGTAAAAATCAATTCATTGCATATCCCATTACCAGCAGTTCTTTTATATCAAGGTCAAATTCAGCCGGTTGTAAAACAATCACATAGTTGCCAATGGAAGTCTTCACAGTTCCGCAGTTTGACTTTAAAAATAGATGCTTACAATGTCTGTATCATGTTAAAGCTCTATTTTACAATGCTGTAGCTTTTCTGTGCCACAGACTTGTTTACTGCAGATGGGTAGGATCCTAAACAGGAAAATTACATAATTCAGCCTGGGTATTCTGGACTGAGGTCAGGGATGAAAATGTTAAAATAACTAGAAATGTCCACTGAAGACCAGTGTGTATTTAAAAAATGTTTTACATTTGTGGGATTACTTCAAAGTGCAAAGGACATGATGAATTACATGAGCACATGAGCCCATACCCAACTGTACTCCCCTGTCTGGTTTCATTGCTGTGTTGATAACTTCAGACACTTGATGACACAAGTGCTGTGTTCATGAGTACCATTCAGGTGGATTGAATATTGTAATCCATCCATCCATTTTCTAACTGCTTTATCCAATACAGGGTCGCGGGCGAGCTGGAGCCTGTCCTGGCAAGCAATGGGCAAGGCAGGATACACCCTGGATGGGACACCAGTCCATCATAGGGCAGACACAGACAGACACAAACACACACATTCACACTCACTCCAGGGCCAGTTTTCCCAAAAGCCAAGTCACCTACCTGTTAGTCTCTGGACTGTGGGAGGAAATCGGAGCACCCTGAGAAAACCCACACGAACATGGGGAAAACATACAAACTCTTCTCAGATAGTATCCCAATTCCAGAACTGATCCGGGTTCCACCTTGCAACCCTGAATATTGTAATGTTAAAATTTCCACTTGCAAGAACTCATGAAAGACTTTTTCTGGGCAGAGTGAAATAAAAAGAAACAGTAGGGTGCTTCTGTTTTAGAATTACATTGTGCTGCTATAAAGTTGCTCACAATACCAAAGTTAGTGTCACAAGGTCTGAAATGTGAAATGTGTCCACTGGCTTGTTGATGGTTTGCTGCATAAGTGAGGCTTTTTGAGTTCTTCTGGTACCAAAAGGCTGATTCACTTATCAGGTCAGTGTACAGTATCTATTAATAAAAGTCATAAAATTGACAAACAGCTTTGCCCAACATACACAGTCTATTAACAGTCCAGGAAATGACCAATGGAGGAGGTCTCTCATTCCAGTGACCAGTATATACAGTAGCTGCTTACTGTGATGATTTCTTAGATGTATTGCTATCTGCCTTTCTGATCGAACAATTTTCAAATTCTGTATTGTATTTTTCCAGCCTCTGTAAGTCACCCTGGATATGGGCATCTGGTAAGCGAGTAAATAATAAGTAATAATAAAAATTAAGGACAAAAGGAAATGAAGTAATATGTTTTCATAAATCTTCTGTCTAGAAATAAGCTCCCCTCAGACATGGGAGGTGTAATTTAAAGGATGAGTGCTTTGACAGCTAATCCTTCTTTTTTAAAATGCAAGAAAATGCTTACAGGCACATACAAAACTTTCCATTGAAAATAAATGTATCTTTCCCTTTAGGCAAAGGCTGTTTTGTCCACAGTAGCTCAGGAGACAGTCTTGGGAAGGTTCAGCAACCAACTGAAATGAGGAGAAATGAAAAATATACACCACTGCCCATCAAAGAAAAAAGGGTGGACATTATTAATATAAAGGGAATTGAAGATATTGGATATGTCCAGCAGGATTCCATGGTAAGTCATTTTTCTTCCCAAGACCGCATTCAATTCAACTCAACCAAGTAAATGACATGAGCTGGGCTGAGGCGCAAATGAGATGCAGGGTGCGTTTAACATACAGGGGACTAGTCTGGATGAAGCATCCACTTTCGAAAGCAGTTTGAGGTTGCAGGCTCAAATACATTTGATGCTACATGACTACTGCAGACAGTATTTTGAGAGGGGAGGGAAGGAAATCCTTGATCTGACCTACCAGTCAGACCCTTGCTGGTGCCAATGAGGTGCCAGTATACTGGAGTATCATCAGTAAGGTCTGTATCTAATTTGAAAATCCTTCTAATATCTTTCTAGGGTTCTTTTTACATTAGCACTGTTATCCAGGTTCACAACATACTTATTGGTGGCTGGTGTCCAAGTTCCTATCCCACTCAACTCAAGGTGGAACATAGTTTTTTTTAGGGTCCCCCTAAATGATCGTACTGGGGAAAGGAGGGGGTGGCTTTGAAGTAGTCATCAGTCATTTTAATTGGAGGTAAGCATCATTCCTGAGGTGTGGGGGCATATACACAACATCCCTCTCCACCACCCCTCCCCAGTTGAAACACTGAAAGGAAGCATTTTCCTTCAAGGGACCTCAAGGGTCTCCTTCGTTAACTTCTTGTTTTCTAGAAGGAGGAACCATATTAGTTTTGATTGCAGGTTTTAAAAATTCAAATACAGGATTTAAGTTTTAGGGATCGTAAGTGGGTCTAACCTGCAAAATGCCTGTCAATTAAAGTGTCTTTTCTCCCAGTGGGCAGAGACCCTCTTCAGGAGCTGGGTTGACTGGGACTGAACAAGGCAAAATGCTGTTACTACAGTATGAACTTTTGAGCAGACTTGTGCCTTTTAAACATGTCAGGTTAGATTTCTTTAATACATTGCTGACGTTGCTGTCTTAAGCACTGAAAAATGTAACAGGCACACACAATAAAGCTCAAAGTTTGTATGTATTAACTATTAATATGATTTACTTTCTTGCACAAGACAGTGCTTTCAAAAGTGTGTTAGGGGAGGTGAGGCTGGGAAAGCCATTTCTGGTATAAAGAGAAGTACATCTACATCAGTAAAAGAAGGCCTTGCATGTGCACTGAAAATAAGTACTATTTATATGAAAGTTTTGTTTCATTCCTTCCTTTCTGGTCCCGGGTCAGTGCTGCTTGTTTAAACTGCACTTTGAAACAGCCCAGCTGATCTGACCTGCTTTACAACATGCAGGTCTTGACCTGGGTCAAAGTGCCTGGGTGAAAATAACATAGAAATAGCTGTGTGAGCAGCAGTGGCTGGCTTATGATTCGGAATAGGGTAGTAGAGGAGCTTTTCATATATGGTGGACATAGAAGGGGAAATGAAGCTATGTTTGCATTTGTAACAGGACAGAAATCCAATGTAGTAACCAGAAAGGTTTTGTCATTGGTTATTTTGCATGCCTCAGTTCTCTTGTAAGATGCTGATTGTCTGTTACACTCCTACTTTTCTCAATTTTCCTGTTAAGAGTAACATAAATGCACCAGATTAAAAAAAAAAAAGATGTGGGGTGGTTATGTGAAGTCAAATAGCATCCTTATGTTCCCTGCGGGAACTGAACTTTGATCTGTCTTCCCTGAAATCGTGCAGTGAGAGCTTGCTTATACGTTTGAAGGGACTGGTTAGAGTGAGTCTCATTGTGTTGTTTTATTTTATTTGCTTATTTAAACGTATCAGGGTGCAGTAAAATAAACAGAACCCATTCAAAAGGGTTAATCACTCTAAATGCCGGCTGCGGTGAAAGTGTTATCTAAATTTGTTTTATTAAAGCTGATATGATCATTAAAAATCTGCGATAAGCGAAAACATCTGTTGTCAACACCTGTGCTGTTCAATTAGGCTGAAAATGTGTTCAGTGTGAAGCCACAGCTACTGAACGGATCACTGGACATTTTAATTCAGCGAGACGCAATTACTACAGTTTAACACTGACAAGAAAACCGCGTTTGTCTTGTTCTATGTATTCAGACGCAAGTGATAATTCGCCAAAACTTCGACAATGTCATGCCCTTAAAGACTTTTTTTTTCTGACCACCGCAACGTCAGGGCGGAGGAATCTGATGATATGAGTAAGACTGAATTCTGAAGGTGTTTAGATAGCGACTTTATAGTTTTGTCTAATATTAGCTCCTGGCTTTCGCGTCTCTTCTTCTCAAGTAACAAACTGTACATCAGGGAGAATCCAAGTAGCGCTCCAGATACACGTCTGGCCAAGAAGATTTAACTGAGCCCGAGAGAAGAGACGACCCTCTTTTATACCGGGAATTATACCGTCTCAGTAATGGGAAGATGGCAGTCGTTGCACCTGAAAGTTTTGGAATTTCTGTACAAAAGACGGACGGAAGTAAAGATTTCTTAAAAGATGTTATTTTCCATGGGAAATTTGAAGTAAGTGGAGTACTTTATAAAAAAAGCAAATCTCATATAGTTAGGTTTGTTTAAAACAATGAGGGATTTGGACCGAAAGCGGTTTCGGCAGATGCCAAATAATGGATTTGAGCTGTGTGTTTATGTCGTTTTTAGAATATCTTTTTAGAGTTAACCTAAGTGCGGTTATGATGGGATTAAGATTTCAGATTTCCAGGCGCACATCGTCAACAGAAACTACGATACTCTCTGTTGCCGCACTGATAGTAATTAGAATTCTTTTTAACACCTGTGTTGCTTCTGACATTTAAGTGCAATAGTTCAGGGTTGTTTGTTTAGTACCTCGCAGCCTAATGTACTGTATGTTCAGTGCTGAGTACTAGAGCGTCACAGTGGGGAAAATGAGGACTAATTAATCCAGTTAGGGTTTATTTTTTATTACCTTTAATGGAATTAACCATAGGTTGCAATTTAATTAGTCTTTTCTTCATTTGTTTTATACGGCATTTTTAACAATTACGGAATATAAAAACGAAAAGCAATGTGTTTATCAGTGATGTTACAATCATGATTTAATCTCCGTGAAAATATTGTTTGTCTTGAAAAAGTGAATTTTTAAAGAAATAAGATATTTTGGGATTGGTACATAACATAGCATAGGATTTTGATAGTGTCACTGATTTCTCTGAGCAGTAAGTCGTACTTTTTAAGTCTTCTGTTTAAGTTTTCTGTTTGGCTTTGAATTCCTGCCATCAGGCGTCACATACTGTACATGTCTTAAATTGAAACAGCATGCCAGAATATACTTGTTGTGTAAATTTGCCCATGAAATAGTGGAATGTTTAACAAGAACATAACCAAGCTTCCAATTAAACTGAAAAATATGTACAGAACATAACAAACTATCACTTATTTATGCAGGTAAATAAAGCTTATTGAATTTGGAATTTAATTAATATTGTGATTGCATGAGTACTGAATCACCTCATTAATGAAAGGGTTAATTGGGGGCAGGTGAGAAGGTGATGTAACCTTTTGAATGCCAAGCCTGAGTGAAGATCAAGAAAGAAAAGCACAGAAAGGAACTATGTCCAGCTTATCAAGAGACCACTGTCGAAGTGCTTTCAGTATGTTGGACTAGTGGACTAGGTCAGCGCATTATCGCCTGCCGTCTGGAGTGTTCACAGTCAGTTTTTCAAACCTGGCAAGACGTTTCAGCCAAACAGAGTCTGTCAGCGATAGACCACGGTCTGGGAGACCACAAGCCATGACTTCTCTCCAAGTTTAACACTTTATCATGCTTCCATCTTCATGGATTTCCACACTGCCTGTTCCACTCCATCAGAGATCAGAAACACTAGGTTGCAATGAGTGATTGATTGCAATGTGACTGCACAGCAGTACACTGACCCAGTCCTGGGCCTTCACTTGCTGCACTTCATATGTTTCATCATGGCTGGACCATATTGCAGCAGAACAACACATGTCCTTATGCTGCCTGTGTAACAATGACAAGAAAGTGACAGCTATGCTGTGTCCACCCTGCTTGTCTGCCTTCGAGACCTGTTCAGCTTTTGTGAGATGACAGGAATTGATGTGTGGCAAACAAGACTCAGAGAACAGTGAAAGGATGTCTGGTTGTGTTGGTGCTATGAGAAACTGCATTTGCAATATGGATCAAGTGTCACAGATTGTACAGATTCCATTTAAGGCCATAAACAGTACCAGACTGCAGATTTCTTAGCAGACGGTATACATGTAGCATGTCGGTTAGTGACAATATACCTGTCATGTCTGTCCATTAAAATACTCAATCTGTGAACCTGCTGCATGAATGTTTTAGTCATTTTCCTAATTAGAACTTTGTGACTTTGTTGCAGTTTTACATGATCCATTTTATTTGGTAGTTGTTTCAGTCATTGTGAATTTTATGCTTCAGTTTGTTGTTGGTAGTGTGTTAGATTTTCTGTTGATTATGCAGCCTTGCCTACTGAGCTAACTGTAGAAAGAAAAGAAAGCACCGCGTAGAAAGAATGCAAATCTGCCCTGCTTGGTTAGCTCTGTCATCGGGTCTGGCCTGGACCCCCTGGAGGTAGAGGCTGAGAGGAGAATGGTGTCCAAACTAGAGGCCATCATGGACAACGTCTCCCATCCCCTCTATGACATGCTTGTAGAAATGAAGAGCACGTTCAGCAATAGACTGATCCATCCACGGTGCGACAGGGAGCGCTACAGGAGGTCATTCTTGCTTCCTGCCATAAGACTGTACAACGCATCCACCTTGCGTCTGGGCAGAGGCAACATCAACAGTGACCTGTTTCTGGACTGAACAGTAAACTGCTACATCTGTTCTTTTTCTTTTTCCCGTTTACAACCGTTTTTGTGCAATATATGCCAGGGACTTGTGCAATACATTTATATTTTTATTTATATCGTGCAATATGACTTTTTTGTGTACTGTTCTGTTCTGGTTTGTTCTTTGTGTGTTCTGGACTGTGAGTAACTCTAGTACTGTGAGTATTGTAGGTATTGTATTATTATTATTATTGTATCATTCGTTACACTGTTGCTGTGTTGTCTGTGTTAAGCTGCTGTCACGCCAAGCTGTTCTGCAGTGAGGGTTTTTAAAAAGTGTCCTATCTGAAAATAAAAAGTGCTCTGATGAATCAATAAGATCATTTTTGTAAAGATAAATATTTACTTTTTTCACTGTTTTATACCTTCCCTGTATTCTCACTGTGTTTTCAGTGGGAGTACTCCTGTGCTCATGTATTTGTTGTACTGTGTTGTGGACATACACAGCACACACACGTGTTCTCACTTAGTACTAATGATGTTCTCCCTTCTATCCCCAGATTTTAAATTCTCTCTGCCCAGAGGACGACACTCAATGTGGACAAGGCTTGTACTTCCATGATGGGAAGAGAAAGGTGGATTATATTCTCACTTACCACATTAAAAAGCCTAGTGGCTCCAAGAAATACTCGAGTCGGTTCAGCGAGAATGCCTTGGCTCGCAGCATCCGAAGGAGTCGGCACCATCCTTCAAAGAAAGACCCGGAGATAGCAGCACAGGACCTCAGCATGGATTACCATGAGGACGACAAGCGGTTCCGCAGGGAAGAGTTTGAAGGCAACCTGACAGAGATGGGCCTGGAACTGGAGAGGGATGAAGATGTAAATTTCCTTTTTCTTCTTTAATGTAATAAAAGACAGTCAGGAACGTTATGTTTATAATGGTATCACAATTCACAATATGAATGGTCCCTGTAAACTTGTTTCCTATTATTTCTTAGTTTTCTGTAAGACAACGGTAAGTACTGTACTTACAGTACTCTGAACTACTTTTTGCTGTCAACCCCACTATGAAAGACTACAGCTGTATTTGAGTTAGACTGTGCTGACTTACGCCTAGGTATTGGCTTTCATTACTTCTTGAACTAGGCATGTATCTCGGTAACAATGTAGTCTGGCTCAATACTAACTACTAGAGTTAGTATTGAGCCGGACTAAGTTGTTAATGACATACATTGGTACATAAATGTGTTTTGAAAATAAATAAACCAGTCTCTTTGTGGAAATGTTTCCATATGGATTCCACATTAATAGTTGGCCAGTCCCTTCACCTGTCTGTTCCAAAAGAGAATTATAAAGCAGTGTTTGAGCTGGAGTTGCTCAAGGTCTGTGTTAATTATGATGTGTTTTCAAACAGCTGACCTATTGACATTATAGGCATTAATCATTCACATATGCAAGAGGCTCCAGTAGCAAAATAAAGCCTTAGTCATTGTTTAGGAAAATACCTAAATGTAGTGTGGCTTGCAAGTAGACATGTCTTGAAACATTAAGCACTAGCTCATTAAGTGCTGATCATGGCAGAATATCACCTGCAAAGAACACTTTCCCACACCAGTGAAGAAATGACAGTGATACATGGGACTGATTGATGTCTTGTATAGAAGGAATAGAAATCTCAGGATCACTGTCATGCATCTGTGACTCTGGACCACTGACAGGTGCTGTTACACTACAGATAAGGTATAAAGCAGTAGGATATCGGCTGAAATTTAATTTGCCCCTTCCGTGGAATTCGCTTTGTAGATCCATTTAGTGAACAAGTTGAAAATGGCAGTGAGCATAGAGTAGTGTGTGCACACAGTTAACTTCTAAAAATACAGGGGCAATTAAGAAACTTGAACTTGTCATCTCTTTTTCCAGTAGCCATTAAAAAAGTACTGGTCAAATGAGAATCTTTCATTGCAGCAAAGCAGTAAAGAAGGAGGTGTGATCATGTAGTAAATCTCTAGTTGATTTGTTACAGTTCTTGGTAAGCTTTGCGTAGGTTCCACAGAAAACTGTGTTTTGCCCTTGTGTTCATGTTGACTGAGAAATGAAGATGCTACAGGAAGCATTTGTTTACTCAGAAAATGGCTTTTTTTTCTTTTGTTATATCGCATTGGTACTGTAGGTTGTCCTTTTCTCACACATGGGGATTTAAGCCTTGAGGTCATGTTACATTTTTGCTATGAATTGTTTTGGGAGAAACAGGTCTGCAAACATTACATTTGATGTTATTTCTGTATTTACGTTTTTTTCATAATGTCTGTTGGTACAATGTTATCACGACCCATGGTTGTGTGGTATTTTGTGAACCTTGCAGAGAGCGCCTGAAATCTATTTGTGTGCTTCATAGATGAACAAAACAAATTTATATTATGTAAAGCTATTTTAGAATAACAAAAACAAGCATTTGTTTTAGGTTTGTCCTTACTTTGAAATATCCTGGATTTAAACAAAACTGATTAAAATCAAACCTGCTTGTTATTTCATACCACTAAAGCTGTTGTTGATATTACCCAGTCTATACACTTGAGGCACTTTTCTTAACTAATTTGCATCAGGATCCAATACTTTTATAGTAATAGAATCTTGAAGAGTAGGCTCGGTGGCATAGCAGTTATACTGCTGCCTCACAGCTCTGTCCTGGGTTTAATTCTGGACTGGGCTACTTTCTGTGTGAAATATGCACATTCTACCCTTATTTCTGTGGGTCTACTCCTGGTGCTCTGGTTACTTCCCACTTTCTAAAGATGTGTGGTTAGAGTAATTGTCTGTGTGCTCATGTGTGTGTGCATGCACTGAGATGGACTAGTTCTGTCCTGTATTCTATGCTTCATGAATAGACAGCAGGTTACCATCACCCTTACCAGGAATAAGCTGCCATTTTATAATGGAGATGATGGAGAGTAAACACAGATCATATAAGCTCATCTCTTAGTATTGCAGCCCTTGTGCCTGTTTGTGACGTTCATATCTGAAATCATACATTGCTTGAGTCTCATGTTTTAGAAGGAGCAATGTCAGGTTATTTGTGGTCAAGGCTGAGTTGGCCTGTACCTATTTAAAGCAGCTCTGAACTAACCAGGTCATAAGCATAACAGGGTTTTCATAGTGATAGGTGATCTTAGCAGCACTTGCATTAATGTTAAGAACAAAATAATAAAGCTCTATTTAATACAAAGCCTTTAAAAAAATGTCATATTCTCAAAGCAAAGAAAAATGAACAACAAAGGGAGAAAAAAAGTAGACAATACACATTATAGAACATAAAATCTAAGGGATATTATGAAATTTAATTAGATATTATAGCAGTCTAGTAAAAAAAAGTATCTAATCATATTGAAGCTAATACCCTGGCTTCTTTCACAAACCAGGTGGATGAGATCATTTAGTAGTATCCAAACTAATTAGTCAAGCTGTATGGCCTTCTCTTCTTTGTAACTTGTTCATATTTTAAAATGGATTCAGATTGTTTTCCTAAGATAAGGAGTATTCATTAAGGAGTACTACAGTGTACGGCCAGAGACGTTTGCATTCTGTACAATGGTAAACTTGATGTGGTGACAAATGAGACCAACAGGAACTAGGAGTACCTAAATCTAAGTCATTAAATACATTTGGAAGACCAGTAGTTCCTGTGGAACTTCAGACATGACCCCCACATTTGAGTTTTCATCCCTTATCTCTACTCTGTTTTCAATTTATTCATCAGTTCTCAGTGCAAATACAGTACAAGTATTATCTTGAATACCTATTGCCTGCAATTAAAGATGAAGAACTATCCATAACTGCTGTTGTGTGTTCAGAGAACTTTACCTACTTTTTTCTTAAATCCATGTTAAATATCCACTGGATACCTTATCAGAACTTGATTATCTTCAAGTTTTGTTCTGATAATCATTTTCATAACATGTAGTGGAAGTAATTGGTCTGTGATTACTTATTTTTGCTTGTCACCCTATTTATGAATGGATGTTACATTACTATTTTTCCAATCAATGGTTATTAATCCTGTCTTGAGTGCTATTACAAAATAGTACACTTGACGGAATACCTTCATGTTACCCTTTTCCTTTTAATTAGCATTTTCCGTGGAATCTGTTTTAATGGCACGCTTTGTGTATTTTTTAGTTGTTTGTCCTGCTCACTGGATCATCAAGAGACTGCCCTGTAAGGCTTTTATTGATTTGACAAGTCAGTCCTTAAAGTTGTTCTGTTTTAAAGAAAGGCAAACAGCCTCTTTGATTCTTTTCATGTTTGTCGGCTGTTAGCTTGCTTTTGGTACTTAGAACTTTTAACCCGGGTCCTGTTGCTAATAGTTTGCTGTACATGCAAAAGAGATGCAGTCCATGTGACGTACTCTGGATGACAAAAACAGATGCTTTGCAGCTTTGGAAACTACCTGAAGATGTTTGTCTTTGCATGCTTTTACAGATTTAAATAATTTAGACTAATGTATGAGTACAAAGTATTGATTTAACTGATTTTAACAAAGAGCAACAGGATTGTACAGCTTTCCACTTGCAGCTCTTGCTGTCTCCTCAGAGACTGTATTTTTAATACATCCAGCACATTGTTACATTAGACCCCCTGATTTGCACTTTAGGAATCACAGCAATGAAGGTAACTTGGATGGACTGCAAGTTAAGGGGCCTTGGGTTATAATATGGACCAGAGCTGAACTGACTTATTTTTTAGTATGCTTATTGCACTCGGCTGAACTGGAGTGGTTTCAGCCAAGCACTGTCCGTGTCAGAAATACTAATACCTACAATTAAATGGTCTGTTGATTCTAGGGGAAGTCATTGCTCATCTGCTCATTTGAGATCCGAAGTTCAGGGTCATTGCTGCTCCCTTTAGAAGGTTGTGCCCTCTGACCAGTGTGTGACTATCAGTGACTCAGCAGATTCTGATATGAAGGGCAGACAAATTTGTGGAAGGGCCACACTTGACTTGAATTTAAAGTTTCAATCCAAATGAAAGGTTGTTTTCAAAGCATTACCCTAGCCACCTCTTATATTTAAAATACCACACACGGCGTGGTTATTTAGGTGGATGAAATTATGATCACAGGTAATGTAGTTAGAAGAAAACTTTTTTTTAAAACTTTATTTTGTAGTTGTGAGGTGACTGATATTTCGGAGTTATTCATTCCTGGCAAGGCAGAAGTGTTTGAAGTAATGTTTTGCGTTGTATGCGTCAAATAATAAACAAGGTGAGTGCAGTGTACTTAAGTTCTGGTTTTGTATACTGTATATGATGACTTCTCAATAATGATTCTAAATCACTCTTGTAATCAGTATAGCACCTGTAGCCATCAATGCTACTGCAACAAATATTCCAAATGCATGGCATTTCTCGTTCGGCTGTTAGGCTTTGCATTTTGTTTATCTTTGGTAACATTAATATACATTTCCTTACTGTTATAATAAACATAATGTTAACTTTTTTTAAGAAGATATGTTTTGAAATACATTTTCATAGTTTTCTAGTTTTACGTCTTCTGTCAGCAGTCCTACAACCAAAAACACACAATGGTTCTGACTTCCTTTTCTTTTACTATTACTGGGTTGGCTGCACTGTATTTCTAATTAGATGGTCATTTTTTTGAGGTGAGAGTAGCATTAGCACTCTGCTTACTAACATGGAACATTTCCTTTTTACAAAACACTCTATGAAATGAAAAAATGCTTCAGGACTACATGGTGGTTGACTTGATAATAATGCCTAGCAGTTTCTTAATAAGACAAACTGCCTAAGCAACATTAATGTAGAGCTTGCAGTTAATGAGCTCTGGCATAAATGAACATCTAAAATGTGCTATAATGCTAGACTGTAAATAATGAGAATCTTTTCCCTTTGAAATTTGACTTTCAAGATAGCATTCTGTATTTCCTAAAATGGCTTACTTCATTATTAAAGCAGTACTATTTCATGTTTTTCAACCATTTTCAGTCTGCTGTCAGTAGATTGTATTAATTCAGGTCCCGTGATTAATAAATAAATCTTTAGTATAGCATCCTAACCTCATTACTAATACTTTTTTTTTGGTGGAACCACAATATCTTAAAAGAAAACAATTACCTCCACATTTTGTAAATTAACCAGGGCAATACACTACTGGATCAACATCCAGAGTTATTCTGATAGCTGTCAAGTTGTTATTTTCACTACTTTGCATACCATTGTAACTATTTGACCTCTGGTTCAAGTCGAGAGAGAAATATTGTAATATACAGGTATTTTAACTTTTTAGCAATATGTCATTTAAGTATTAATGCATCTTTATTGTTTTCAAATACAGATTCTGTCCATTTATGATTGTTTCTTCTGAGGTTAGGCAGTATGAGTTACGTTCATGAGTGTGTCACAGCCTTTCAGAAGAAGACTTACTGCAGGGTCTTTGCATGGAGTATGAATCATGCAGTTTATTACTGAAACCCACACCTATCCATCCGTCCATTTTATCATCACTTTATCCAGTACAGGTCCTGGCAGAGCCGGAGCCTGTCCCAGCAAGCAACAGGTGCAGGGCTGGTTACACTCCGGACAGGACGCCAGTCCACCCTAGGGCACACAGAGTCACAGTCACAGACACAGACGCATCGCATTTAGATTGGAGACATTCTGCATATGCATTACATTTAAAATAGAAGGCTGAAAATGTCTTGTGTTCTGTACAACATGTAATGCAGCATTTTAAGGGACAGGTCTTTTTATATATCATTGTTTATTTTCATAAGTATTGCCTGCTGATAGCATAATTTTATGGCTCTAATGTTTCCAAAAATATAATTTTATGTGTTTTGTCAAGCTACTGAAATTCATTTATCATTATAGCTTTTTTAAATTGTTTATTTAAGATTTAAATGCTCAAACATCCTGAGGATAAGAATTTTGAAGTTTACACTGGGTGACCTTGTGAGATTTATTGCATGTTTGCAAAAGATAGCTACGCCTGAAGCATAAACATATGTTTTAGAAGTGCTTGGTCTATTGAATGAGATCTGGCTGTGTTACCAAAACATTCCATAATCATCTCTTCAGTTGATGGTATATACAACTTCAGAGTGTTTACAGTCTCTGAATTCTGTGCATTCTTGGCTTTAACCCTTTAGTTTTATGTCTTCCTTGTTAATTAGCAACTCTATGTATGAAGAGTCTATAATGTTTATCAGGATCCAAAAACATGTGCAAACAGGTTGATTATTTAACATTTAACCCTGAGCTCAATTCAGGTTTAGTTTCCTTTTTAAGTGATGTGGCAATATGTTGATTTCACAAAAATGTTCAAGTATTTATTTTAAACTCAGATGCCAGCATTTTAGAGATTATATCAGAATTTTCAGCCAGTGATTTATATATGTTAATCATAAACAGACTTTACGAAAACAAAACACAGACAAAAAAACAGAATAAGAATTTAGCTTGAGGTTAAACTTATTTTAGTTTTGCATCTGTGTATAAAAAATGTAGAGAGAACAAACTAGTCTCCAATCCCTTAATGGTCGGTAAAGTAAAAATAGCAGTGATAGCTAAAATGTTTACACATCTTTAAGTGTTTCAAGTAATACGTGGAATCTAAAACATGAAAATGAAAAAGTAGGGCAGGAGGGCTGTCCCCCCACCCCCAACACACTGAAGGATGAAATATGTTGATTTAGTATGCATGTTCAATAACATTTACAGCTGTTTCCAATATTGTAAGTTAAACCTTTTTGCTGTTTTTGAGGCTTGTACCTAAGTTGCTATTTGAGCAGGACATTGTTTTAACAATTTTCGTCTGCATAACAGGTAGGTTTCACGACATTACTGAACATTTTCTTGTTACAGACCAAAACCCCTGGAGTAGGGTTTGTGAAAATTCATGCTCCCTGGAACGTACTCTGTCGAGAAGCAGAATTTATGAAGATCAAAATGCCAACCAAAAAGGTAACGTTGTGTTACCCTGTTACAAAATGAAATTTTAAAGACCTTCAGATTACTCCTCTTTTACTGTCTCTCCCTTTTAATTTCCACAGTTACTTTGAATTTGTTTTTGTTTGTTTCTAGGTATATGAAGTTAAGCAGGGCAGCAACCTGGTGGAAAAGATTAATGCGTTTATTAATAAAGTAACAGAACCGCTCCATCCTAACGTAGAGGAGAATAGGATAACTACTGTGAAGCACCTTTCATACCCATTTTCAAGAGAAAAACAACACTTGTAAGTATGCTGTAGTAGGTTAAATCTGTACAATGACAGCGCTAGACTATGTTTGTCTACAAGTTCTCCTGATCTTATAGCCTTCTGTTTTAAGAGGTAACAGCCAGTCACAAGGCATTCCTGAATTCTTTTGCATTCCAGTCGGTAAAACGAAAACACAAACTCTGAAAGAGCAGTCTTTCTGAACGTAATGAAATCCTGATAATATGAATTTCTCAATTCAAGGAGTAGTCTAAAAATACTAAAAGTAAAAAAATAAAAATGATATTTTAGATGTTTCTAAATTAACACACAGACTTGTGAACCCAAAATAACTAACGAAGTGGCTTATACAGTAAGTAGAGTGCATCTGGAAGAAGGAGAGAATAAATATTCCTAATCACTGCATTAATATCAAAAAGCTTTAGCTTATCTTAAGCAAATATTATTGACTTTGTTTGTTTAAAGAACATGCTGGATTGGCTTTAGCCACTCTTCAACTCCTGAGATCTCTTGCCGTTTATAAAGGAAGGGGGTGGTGTGGGAAGACAAAGGGCAGTTTAGCAAATAGCTTCTAGAATGTAGCAGTACTTCAAGTTCATAGACTGGCATCTAGTTACCTATGGATGTCAAAGAACCTTTCGTGAAATTAAAATCCATTGACTTTACAAATGTTTATTGTTTCTGCATTTTGAGTATACAGTATGTGATTGAACTAAATCCCAGTAAATTATTTTTGTACGAATGTCAGAAAATTCTGGAAGTATTTTATTGAGAGTGGAAATAATTTTTTTTCAGTTATATATTTGTTGGGTGGGGTGGGGGAGGTGTTTTAGAAAGTAGTCATAAAATTCTTTACAGTGTGCACACAATGATTACTGAAATTGTCAAATGACATTAAGCAAAGCCCATGAAATTAATTTTGTACGCATTGCTTCTTTATTGCACAGGTTTGATTTATCAGATAAAGACTCCTTTTTCGACAGTAAAACAAGAAGCTCAATAGTAAGTATTGCATGCAAGACCAGGTCAGTTCACAGAAAAAAAAAGTGTTCTCTGTTGGTTGATTAAGATTCAGTCTCTGTACTTGTTCACTTTGTGAGCTAATTAAAGAATTTTGACAGGTATATGGTATTTGAATAACGTACTTGCCTGTTAACCTTTTTCTGTAATAAGATTTCATGGCAGTGATGTGTATTTTGTTAAAGAATATCCATTTATTTGTTTTTAAAATTTTAATGAAATTAACTCATACTATGACTAAAGCCTTCATACAGCAGATCTGATGTTTGATCTGTGTTTTTGTTTTTGTTAGGTCTATGAAATACTGAAGCGTACAAAATGCACAAAAGCCAAATACAGCATGGGTAAGCTCTCTATTTAACCCTGCCTTGAAAGACAAAGCAATAATGTTTTTAAACTTCACAGAATGTTTTTGGACAGTTCGTGGCCATTTTGGGTCTACACATTGTATTGAAAAGGGTAAGAATTTATGCGTAATGCATCGTAGTAGAAGAAAGGAAGCTGTTTGGGTTTACTGACAGTCACTGCTCCAGTTGTGATCTCTCACTCTGCTGTAGAATTGAAATGCTTTTAATAGACTGTTGGTCCTTTGTAACTTTAAAGACATGAGAAAGAATTTCCTTCTTCAGAAGGAGAAAATGTTTATTTACACAGGAGTTAAAAACTGGCCTGTGTTCTTTTTATAAATATCTAACTTTATTGCAGGGATGACCAGTCTCCTTGCTAATGGAGTTTATACAGCAGCCTATCCCTTACATGATGTAAGTCAAGCCATATTTATACATTTTCCTATGGAATGGATATTACAATATATACATTATTGGCTTGATGAAATATAAATGATTTTTGTTATATTATTATTAATCTCAATCTGTTTTTTGTGTGAGGTTTACTGAATGCTTTTTTTAATAAAAAGGGATTTAGATACCTTTTTTATCTTCATTGTATGTGACAATGCTGCATTAATGTGATTGCACCACTGTTATTTTAACAATAATAGATCTCTGAAAACCCTTCACTTTATCACATAGGCCTGCTATTTGAGAACATTATGTGGTAGTGATTATGTAAAGGATATTTATTTTTAAAAAATCTTCCTAATATCTGCTTTTCATTGCAGGGAGACACAAATGGTGAAAACAGAGCACCCAATGACAGAAAGGTAAAAGGAACTTAAGTTCTTGTTAGGAGTTTGCTGTAAGTGCACAGAAAATGACTGTGTTTTGCGAATGCAGTCTCAATATTTCTGTGAACTCCTGTAAGTGAATTATAATGGAGTGTTTTAAATGTGCAAACATTTCTAGTTGTCTTCAGCAGTGTTATTGTGGAATTGACAGATTGTTTTAAAAGTTTTAAAACAATGTTATCGGGACTTGCCCAGCACAATATGTCTTGAGTTGTTTTCAGTGAGATGGGACACTCAGCATTTAAGGTTTTAAATCTGGCAGTGGACAGGTGTTTACTGTTACAAAGGAAATCTCTTTAATGAGGAGCAGTGAAATCGAGGGACTCTGCGTTGTTTCAGCCTGATTATATGCTTATATGTCATTGTGCAGCTGAGCTAATAGATGAAAAACCTAAACAATAAAGTGTTTAAAGTTGCCAATGAAATTGAAATCCAAATAAATGCGATATGGAGGCAAAATGTACTATATAGAGTTGTTTGGTGTAACCAGCCTATGTGAGGGAATGGCAGCCTAAACTTAAGGAGGAGGGTGACTGAACCTGCCCTCGTGTGTGTGTGAATGAGCTGGGAAACTGCGGTGGGGAGTTCAGGAGGCAAGATATATAGTGTATATATAGGAGAGAGGAAGAAGGGGAGATTAGGATCTGTCCTCCCTCCCAAATTTAGCTGGTTTTTTTATATGCACATATTATCTGTACAATATATCTAATTACAGAACATACCATACTATATCTGTATATGCATCTCCAGTTTTATCATTTACAATATTATCTGTATTTTTATATATTACAATATATCTGTTTGTGTCTGTATCTACATACTGGAGAGTATATCTACCATGTACGGTATTATTTGTGTAATTATACATTACAATACATCTGCAAATGTTTATGGTAGCAAGTATTTTTGATCTCATGGGTGTAAGAATTGTTATTTAATTAATATTTTTAATTGCTGACATCACTGTTGCTGAAGTTAAATATCACACTGAAATATGCATTATTTTTACTCTTATACTGGTATCCTCATGTACCTGCAAACATTGAAGAATCACATACAAAAATGACTCCCGTAGGCAAAGGCTGTGTACAGGAAAGCCTGTGCTGTTGATCTCTGTCCTCACTGTTATCCCAAAAGCTTCGAGGCCATGTTCATCTTATGGGGCTGTGATAGGAATCTGAACATCTGCAGCGACTTCAATTTCACCCTCACATAGAAGGGATCACATTACTACTAGCAAGCAGTGAGGTGCCAGATCTCTCATGGCTACCAAGAGTGTTTTAGTCACTAGACAGGACAGTCTTTCTGTGTGAATCAGCGCTCTGGAGAAATCATTTTTCCTCCCAGAGGCAGCTTTGCTCCTGATCTTCCATTTTCCAAGTAATTTCAAAGGTTAAAAAGCAGGCAATAAAGGTGGAGAACAACAATAACCCCTCATAAACAGTATTAACATTTTAATTGACTTGTGTTTTTATTTAAAGAATGCTTGTCTTAGAAGCGACCGTTGCCAATTGTTTTAATCAAATCAAACACTCGATCATAAAATCTGATAACTCCTAAAAAAGGTGAAATAACCTGTTGGCAAAACAAATTCTTCTATTTTCTTTTAGTTGTTTAAGCCTATGTTTTTAAAGTTGCAACGTTTTAAAGTAATTTCCCAAATTATACAATGTAACACATGCTGTAGATAACAGTATATATTTTTAATGAAGCTGCGAATTACATTCTTATTTTTTTCCCTTTTCAGCTGCTGTATGAGGAGTGGGCAAGCTACAGTGTCTTCTATAAGTATCAGCCTATTGATCTTATCAGGTGAGATGGATAAATGTTGCTTCTCTAATTTCAGTGGCACTTCTAAAATGAATAATGCGGGAATATCATGCAATTTATTAATGGAAATAGTAATGAAGGGTTAGCAGTCTTCTTTGTAATAGGTGTAGATAGGCTAGAACAGGTAGTCATCGCATCTGTTTATACCATAAGTAAACAAGACATCAGGTTTTGCCATGTCATGTTTTTAATTAATTCTGTGATGTGCTAAACAGTAAAACTTACCCGGCAAACAACTAAACCAAGCACACTCCAAACAACATAAACATAACATTTGTGTGAAAAATATTATTCAAATGCAAAATGGAATTTGTCTGACCTATGTACATACTGTATCTACATGTGTGTGAAATAACTATGATTTTTATTTTGAAGAAAATACTTTGGGGAAAAGATCGGACTGTACTTCGCCTGGTTGGGGGTTTATACCCAGATGCTGATCCCGGCCTCCATTATTGGAATAATTGTCTTCCTTTATGGCTGTGCCACTGTGGATGATGACATTCCCAGGTCTGTTTCGGCCTTGGTTTCTGGGGTGATGTTTGGTGGAGACTCTCTGGAGTTTCCTTTCTGAGGGCACACCTGAAAAATAATGGGGATTCTAAACCAGAGCGAGCAGAACCGGTATTTGTAGGTATTTGTAGAGTGTAAATGTGTAGTGAATAGAAAGCTCCAGCACTTTTTCTTTGTTCATCTCTAATATTAATCTAAAAGGACACCAGCCAGTAGTTCAGTTTGTCTCCTTAAGTGGTTGGTCTAAATGAAACTATCAAATTTGCTGGATTGTGATGCTCCAGGACCTGAATTGGTCACCCCGAATATAGAATATCAAAGAAAAAAAAGCATTTAAGGTGCAGTGTTTTCACTTCTTACATTAGAATTCTTAATTAATCTAGAAAAATCGAAAAGAGGCATTATCTTTAACATAGCGCTACCTACAGAGAGAACTCTAAACAACCATAGCATGCTGCCAGCATAATATGCTATGCAGTTTGTGACAGTGTCATCCTTATCTTCCAGAAACTTGTCCATCTATAGTTTACAGGCCTCTTTATATGATGCAAAACACAGAGATCTTTTTTTGCTTTTCCTTGTTTTTCTGCAAGGTTCTTTTTATTTGAAATTCAAATGAAGCGCTGTTAAATGCAACTTGTGCGCGAGATGAGATACAACCTGGCACACTTCAAAGTGAATCACATGTGATTCTGATTCCGTCTGTGGAACAGTCCAATTCGGTTATATGACTACAGGCGCCCGTTCTATTGCATCATTTTGCAGGAGGTGGGCAGTGGGAATCCCTCAGCCATTGCCCATTTTTATCTTGCCAGGGTGAGGTGGTACAGCAGTGTCCTCTGAGGGGTCCAGAGGTGCTCTGGTCCCTCTGCCTGCTCTGCTAGCACTGTTGCTGTTAGCCGCCGTTGAAATTTTCTGTCTCTCCCCTTTCAGCATGGAAATGTGTGACAAAAGGAACAACATCACCATGTGCCCCCTCTGCGACAAAGTCTGTGGCTACTGGAAGCTGAGTACAGGGTGCGCCACTGCTCGGGCCAGCCATCTCTTCGATAACCCTGCCACGGTCTTCTTCTCCATCTTCATGGCACTGTGGGGTGAGGAGCTCCCTTCTGGGCGAGTCGTGGCAGTGTGAAACCATCTGCGTTTTCCGACGTGATTTGTGTTGTTTATCATTACTACTTCAAATGATTGATTGCATCCTGGAGCAAGGCTTAGGATGTTTTTAGGCTGTGTGTTTCAAGAGTTTCCCTTTCATACAGTATGGTCTAGTAGGAGAGCAACCTGATTGTGGCACTAAGAATAGCCAAGCTGTCAGTCAGAGTGCTTTTGCCAAGCGGCGACAAACTGTGCTTCCTGAGAATCAAAACGTTAGAATCTTCCGGTTTTTAGAATATATTGGCTCTTAATTGCTTAATTAAATTAGTCAGATTAAGGACATACCATAGCGTTAACCTCAGTTGACAGTAATTCAATGCTGTTGTATTCTGTAAAAGTGCATTAACTATAAAACAGTTGCTAACAATATTCTGGCACAGAACTAACGATACTGACTAGAAATGTTAATTCGGCTCATCTCGTACAGCAGACAGAAGTATTTTCTATACACATGCTCTGGCACCAAGGCATATTCACTATACCCTTAAATGAAGGGTTAATCAATGTCAGGCTCAGAAGGTGTTCAGTTCCATTGCGATGAGGGACTTTTTTGTTTGATTGCTAGTTCTCTAATGAGGCCGACTAGTACGTTACTTCACTGTGCATAACTCTGATGTAGTTCTTTCCCAAAGCATCAGACTGGGGAAACAGACATTTCTAACCTTTGCTGTAGGGCGATCTATATTTTCAACAACAAAAAAGGTACTACAATTAAGGTGTGATTTTATATGTAAAGGATTTTTTCGTGTAAATAGAGCAGGAGTAAAAACTCAGGCAGGGTAGTGTTCTACTTTGAGTACTTTATTTCTTAATTTGGCCAAATATGTCAATAATTGGCCAGAATTGCTATCTTTTCTTATTAAAAGGGGCCTATGAAACTCTTCAATACTTGATTTTGTGAAGCCCTCTTTAGTTTTATAGTTAATGCAAACATCACTTAAATTTAATTGTATCTGCAGTGGAACAAAGTTAGACTAAATTAATTATTCCTGCAGTAACACATGGTTTTGCACATTCTGTACTAATTCATTTGCACTTGTGTATTACATATACATTCAAAAACTGGCTATAATTTATAACCCTAATATCCTTAATCACATGACTAAATTCTAGTTGCAATCTCCATAGTGTCTGGGTTGACATCTAGGCCAGTGTTACCTGTTATGACTGTGGAGCTACTGAGAAACCTCAGTCCCTTGAAGTGTTTTGCCAACAGACCCTGTACAGTCTCTCGGATTCTGGAAAATAACAACTCAACCTAATAAAGCCTTTCCCCCCTACATTCCTTTCCTCTGTTTATTATCACGGACGTTTGAATGAAGGCAGGAAGCAATCGTCTGTATTGAAGCACAGTGCTACCAATGTGTCAGGTCATAAGTTCAGACCAAGAATTTTATCCTTGGTTTGATATTGTTTTTTTGTACTTAACTGTTATCAAGAATAGAAATATAGTACAGGCTTGTTTTAGGGGAGCTGTAATTCAATGGCCTGTAGGGCTGTGATATAATTATATATTAAAGCAATGTAACAGTGTTTGTCATTATTCCTCATGTGTTTTTATCCAGAAAGTCACTGGGTGATCATTATTTCTGTATATGAAATTGTTTGCATGGGGCTTCTTTTCTTTCTTTAACTTGTTTCTGACTACATTGCGCGGGAAGAATACTTTAGAGAAATCGTGATATCTGCACTTTTATTTAAAATTGATATTGAAATGTGTTTTTTTGCTTGGAAACAATTCATTTTCAGTGTGCAGGTATTTTTGTATTTTACATTGTATCTGGCAAAATGATGTGTGATCAGGTTATGTTCTCATAAGAATAAACACCTACTCAACATTATAGAGAGCCATGATGGTAGCTCTGAAAAAGCCTCTAATCTTCCTGAACTCTGAACAGTAGTTCATCTCTATCATTATTTACTTAATACCATTCACAATTTCATTGATGGATGAAAATGGGCTTTCTCATGAGTTAAGATTTTGTGAAGAAAATAAAATTGTTCTCATTTTGCTATTCTATAATTCATATTTTTAGGATTATTTTTTTGTTACAGCCACCATGTTCATGGAGCACTGGAAAAGAAGGCAAATGAGGCTGAATTACAAATGGGATCTGACTGGCTTTGAAGAAGAAGAGGTGAGATATTTACTTTATGTTTCTTTTAACACACTGTATAAACAACGTTCTGCAGCTCCAGCACTGGGATTACATAAACACTTTTTCCACAATCTCCTTGTGAGTCTGTTTTAAATCACACAAGCTTCATTCACAATTAGAACTTCAAATAAGACCTTGGTAGTCATAATGATTATCACCAGGTAGGCTGTTTCATTTGAAAGGCCTTAATAGTTTATTTACTTTTTAAATTACCAATTAGGAACTGAAGGTATCATTATAGTTTTAAAGACTCTTCTGTACAAGACATAAAAGATATTTAGTTATAAAATAATCTAAATAAAGCTAATATCTCATTTCAAGTTGTTCTAATTTTTTAATTTTATATATTTTTAATGCAGGTTATTATTATTTTCTCCCATTAAACCATACTATAATTCACCTATTTCTTGAAAAATTTCTTGAAAAGAGTAGGGATGGTATCCTGGTGTCCTGGCCAGATTTCCCCCATTTTTACCAATCATGGCCTCCTAATAATCCCATCAACGAATTGGCTTCCTTATTCTGCTCTCCTCCCCACTGAGAGCTGGTGTGTGGTGAGCGTTCTGGCACACTATGGCTGCTGATGCATCATCCAGGTGGGGCTGCACATTGGCGGTGGAGGGGAGTCCCCATTACCTGTAAAGTGCTTTGAGTGGAGTGTCCAGAAAAGCTCTATAAAAATATAAGGAATTCTTATCGTTATTACTAAAGCCGGCACAAAGCTATCAATAAATAGGACATGTGACAAAATATTCAGCTGCGGAAGACCATGTCTTAAGTCATTAACAAGACAGGATACCAGTGTAATATTTTCTTTAGTACATTTTCTTACAATTTCTTACTTATGGAAAACCTGTTATTTCTTAATACTTTAGGGGGTATAGACATAAAAAGGCATCCCAGTATTCATAGGAATATCACTTGAGTTCTATCTCTGTGTACATTTTCTAAATAGTTAAACTATCTATTATCTAAATAGTTTAATTCCATAATGTTTTATATATCAGTGGAAAAGGGAACAATGCAGTTATCTAGTGAGTGATTGGTCCAGAAATCCACACTAATGACAGGACCTCTGTAGTGCGTGTACAGACAGTTAACACCTGTGTCCAGATGCCAGCCAGATGTTCAGTCCTGTTCTCGGTGGCATCTCATTGGTGACAGATAGGGGTGATCAATCAATTGCAATGTTAAAGTGTGGGGATGCTGGAAAATAAAATGTTACAAATAACTGGTACAATTGTAAGAATTGTATTTCAATTTGAATACGTTTTTATACTTCTCTAAGTCAAACATTTCACAAACAAATGAAATATCTTGAACGGAGGAAATGGAAGAGGAAGTCCTGGAATGATTCAATAATGTAATGCTTTTTGTGTCTGTTTTTTTCCTGTTGGGTTTCCTGAAGGAAGCAGTAAAGGTTTGGATTTCCTTATTTATTTTTTTTTCTTGTTTCAAGCTGATCTTATTCGCCTTCTCCCACTGCTTGCCATCCACGCCGTTTCTTTCTCTGGAATCCATCAAACAGGAAATTCTTGGATTTTTGTTTCTTCTTCCATTGCTAATTTTAATACTCTTCAACATCCTTTTTTAAAATATTGTTTGAATCATCATTTTTTTGTTCACCTTACAGATTCAGTAACTTTATCTGCTTCACGTTTAGTATCAATTCTGACTCACCTCCTCGTTACTCGGCATTTTCTGCTTCCTCAGTAGTTGCCCTTCCTCACATTTCCATACTGTGGGCATGCCAAAATGCAACTCAAGGTTTTGAATCTGATAATGGACACAAATTCACTATATTAATGTCTTTAATTGAAAACACATCTTCTAATTGACCAAGAATGTACTTGCTCTTATGTACATCGTTTTAGGGCTGATATTGGAAGTGTGTTGTAGCATATCTGGAACCCCCTGCTGGGCGAAAGATGGCTAGAATATGCAAAACTGCATAGAGCAAAAAGTACACTGAACAGCTTATGAAGTGTACCCAGTCTTCTGTTTTTAAAGCTCAGTGTAATCATGAGTTGTTAAAGGTCTTCATCTTCCTTGATGGAAGATGAACGTTGTCTTGTTTTGGTCTCAAATTTGGGTTTGATCAGTTGCGCTTTTTGGACTTCACCTGTGATTATCCTTCCAAGTTGGGTTGGAAGGATTTTAATTGACCCTTCTCGGGTTGTTGCATAGTAACCGAATCTTTGCTCATACTTCTTTGCTACTAATGGGGCTGAGAGGTATTAACCTGTTATTGGATGCATACAGTAAATCCCCAAGTGTCTTTATTTTTTTTTTCCTGTCTAGGACCACCCAAGAGCAGAGTATGAGTTCAGAGTGATGCAGAAAACACTGAAAAAGGAGGGCAAATTTAAGAAAGTAGGTGGAGAATTCATTTGGTTCTTTTCTGTGCTGGCAATTATTCACATTTTACTGCTTTACTACAAGATGACCACTACTTTAACTTTGTAAGATCTTTTCTTAAACACAAAATGATGTTTGGAATTCTTTACATATACATTTTATCTTACCTTCCTCCCACTACATGTTCAGTGCCATGTTTTATTACAGTCATAAAGTGATCCCATCCTGATTATTACGGTCCAGTCTCCAAACTCACTTGGAGACATTTGTTTCTAATCCATCAGAGACTTTTAAAACAGATGTGTTTAAGCTCTCTTGTGACATTTTTGTCTTTTTTTCTATTTTTGTTGTGTTTTTGGGGGGTGGCGTTTTTATCTTTATCCTCTTATCGTCAGAAACCCCCAGAGGTAATGGAAGAGCGAACAAACAAATGGAAACAAACTGTTCAAACTGCCATGGGTGGCGTCAAGCTGGTACTTTCTAAATGTGAACCTCATTCACTCTTAAACTGGTCTGTCAAGGCAAAAACTGGGCCAAATAGTAGTTTCCAACTCCTGTATTTGACTAGTCATACAGAACAGCGCAGTAGAATAGGTTACATACACCTTGCCTATAATGTCTGTAGCATCTGTGCTGCTGGTTACCTATGTTAGCCTGCCACAATGAAATCTGTATCTGTTTCATAGTATAAAGTAAAAAAGGTTTGAAACAGAAATAACAAATTGCATCATTGGATCTTTTTAGAATATTAGGCGTATAGCTAATTGTGTTTGTACAGCCTTATGATTTCTATAAAAATACTTCTGTCTCCCCCATTTTTATTGAATTTTTATTGAATTTTACAGAGCTTATTTATATGCAGAGTCTTATTGACAAGCCTAGTCATCAGCACCTAGCTGTAAATGTTTACACATCCCTAGTTTTCTCTGAAAGCCACAGGAATACAACAACAAAGCCAGTTCATTTTCCTAAGAGGTCTACATACGGTATTGTATAATGGAATTGATCATGTCTGTTGAGTTTTATTATTTTAAAGAATCTTGTCAAGATTCTAAATAAAATATACTATTGTTATACAGTTTTAAGTTCTTACTTAAGTTCTTGTTATAGTTAAGTTCTTACTAGTTCTTTAATATTCTACTAATAAAATAACTTAGTGGCTTACTTTGTCAAGTGTTTTGCACATTTTACTCATTATACTTTCAGAGCAGTTACAGTATAAATATTTGACAGGAGCTTAGTAGTTCTTAGTGACATTGGTAAATTTGAGCTGTGGCGATACAAAGCACAGGGATTTTTTGGGGCCTTGACATACCAGTTTATAAATTGTGAAATGCACATTTTTTTCTTTATCCCACACATTTTTCTTCCTTATTTTTGATGTTTTAAGCAATTCTTTCACCATCTTCACCTTCCTATTACCCATTTTTCCTAGGTGACACTGTTGTGCACTCCCCTGTCGTAGTGAATGTCAGTCGTGAAAATTGAACTTGTGAATTTGCCCTTTGTAACCCAGCATGTCACAGTTTTCCCTTTCAAAAGTTGTACTTTTGTGCATATTGGGCCATATTCATAAATTATTTTGTGCATTTTTACAATTTTGCAATAATAAAATGAAAACATTTTAAACTGTATAAAGGGAAATCATAAAATAACATCTCAAAGGCTAATCCGATGCAACATTTTAAAATTGTATCATTGTTTTATCAGAAATTAAAAGGTATAACATTCTACCTGAGTGTAATTAGATTATAAATATGGCTCTTTGTGTCATTAGCATGCTTTCTTACTAATTAGTACCTGTTTATGAAAATGCTGCAGACTCCTTCATTTCATACTGAGATTGCATGATTCTATGGCTTTAAATATGATTTTAATATAAGATATGCATTTAGATGGGAAAAGAAGCTGAACTTGAAAGTTCATCCTATAACATTTTGATTTGCATTGCATTCAAAATGTTTTTTGCTCTCATGCAAATTTACAAATTGCAAATTGAAGACAAAACTAAATTCTCATTTTAATTTAGATTTGAATGACAACAGACGAGGGGCAAGTAGACAAACCTGCATCTTGCAAATGAGTGCTGTATAATCAGTGCCTGGAGCATTGGCAGAAGCAGATTTGCAGACTACAATCTTTCCCATTACCTCCTACAATTTCTGAAGCTAATTATTTATCTACTGCTGCATCTAACACATCTACAAAGTGCCATAGTCAGCCACCACTGTCTGCAGCTTGTGGAAAAAATGTGGAAAAAACAAAATCTGGCTTTTGAATTAAACCTTCTGAGCATCTGAGAAGAAATCTTGCATTCTCAACCCAAGTTAAAAATCACAACTTTTACAAAAAGTGGGTGCCAAACCAATGATGGTTTTAATGAAGCACGTGATCACGTTGACCAAAAAAATAGTTTTAAGAGGGCAAGAGTGCAGGTTTGTAACACCTTGCATGAAGTATCGTATAGCATCAAATACACAGTTTCAATGTGACTTGCAACTGAAGGCTCTAAAAATAAAAGAAACGCTTTATGTTTGTGACGGGAGTCGCAGCATCAGAAGAAGGGCCAATCATCTCTTCTCTCTCTCTTTTTTATTTATGTAGAATTACAAAGCCTAAGTTTTTCTTTCCTCTTCCAGACAGAAAAAGAGAAACTGACTTGTAGGGACAGAATGCCTGCTTATGTCACAAATCTCGTCATGATGTTGTTAATGGTAAGACTTCAGTACTGCCATGTTCCCTAACATTGTGGTTTTACGATTTTTAGCTAAAGCACCTGTAATAGCATTGTATTTCTAATAATGCTAAAACCAGACTGTGATTGTTTTCATGTTGAATGAGGAATAAATGGCATTTCAAAATATAATTGTATGTTTTTTTACCATTTCTCCTTGTTTTAAGGGATTGCTGCTGTACTAACCTTGTCCTATTCCTTCACGTTCTGTGTTTCCCTCATGCAGATAGGTGTGACTTTTGCCATTGTGTTTGGAGTAATTCTGTACAGGGTATCCACAAAGGCAGCACTGGCTATGAGCTCCAACCCCGTCACCAGGTCCAACGTGAGGCTCACTGTAAAAGCCACGGCCGCCATCATTAACCTGGTGATCATCCTGATTCTGGATGAGGTGTATGGTGCCATTGCACGATGGCTCACCTTGTTGGGTAGGTATGGGTTTGGATGAGCTCTGATGCACAGTGCTTCGAAATAAGGAACTGGCATCACCCCCTTCCTTCTCTTTATCTACATCTTGCCTTAGTCCAACAGAACTTGAGTTTTGTAACACTGATATTTCCAGTATGATTACACTTTACTGATTGCATTATTTGTCTTTGGGCTTATTTGGTTGCCCACAAAATTCAGCATGTATTGTATTCCATTATTTTCTCCATTCATTCATCCTATTGCCCTGATTCAATTTGAATTAACTACTTGAGTTCCAGTTATTTGTGACTAATGGTCTTGGTTTAAGGGTATTATATTACATCAGAAGTTAATAGTTTATTGGTTTATAGTGCTTCAAAAAGTTAGATCTATCTGTGTATTATCCACGCAATAATCAGATTAGGTTATCAAATTTTACTCTTTTTCAGTAAAAATGTGCAGGATTTATATTAAAAGTGTTGTTTTGAAAAAGACAATATACAGTTTCTCCCTCATATGTCTATAAAAGTGTAATAAATCTTCACAATTCAATAAAAGTTTTTTTATATTTAGGTTTCACTTCTGATTTTCAACACTGAATTAAATTCAAGTGAACGTGTTTTTTCAGAGGTTCCAAAGACTGACAAAAGTTTTGAGGAGCGATTAATCTTCAAGACATTTATATTAAAGTTTGTGAATGCCTTCACTCCCATTATATATATTGCCTTCTTCAGAGGCAGGTGGGTATCTTTATTTTCATATTTCTTCTTCTATTCATTTTTATGCAGGGGTCTTGTAATGTACGCCAGTAGATAGAAACATTAAATATTGTATTTTAAATTCAGTTTTACGTGATAACACGACCTGCAAGCCTGTCCATTCCTTATTCTGACCAACCATTCTTGTTGTTTTCTTCATCAAAAGGCTCGTTGGCCGTCCAGGGAATTATGTGTACGCCTTTAAATCTTTTCGGATGGAAGAGGTAAAAATGCTTTTAAAAAAATATATCATCAAATACAATAAACTCAGCTCAGTTATTGAAAACATTTGATTTGTGCTTTGTACATAAATGCCTATATACTGTGTATACTTCACTTTGGACTTGTGCATTGTGGCTTTTCCGTAAATTTGCAAAGTAACATCTGATCTGCTGTGTACTGTGGCTAATGGCACATAATGACTGCTGTATGTCTCTCAGGTGGGTGCTGCAGTTCAGTGGTAGATGAATCGTGTACAAAGTGCTTTGAGGTTCTTTGGAATGAAAAGAGCTGTACAAACACAATTAGCTATACGCAGTTCTGGGGAATTTCTAAGCTTGAAGTTGGGTCTCTACCAATAAATAACAAAATGGGGGACCAGTCTGTGACAGAGGTGTTTTTTTTTAAGTAATTGCACTTCTTGTTCATTATACAGATCTGATAGAAAGTATGGGTTTCTGATTGTGATTTTGTTCTATCGCGCTGTCTAGTGTGCACACGGAGGCTGTCTTATGGAGCTGTGTATTCAACTGAGTATCACCATGTTGGGAAAACAGCTGATCCAGAACAACCTCTTTGAGATTGGCATCCCGTAAGTGGTGACATAATTTAGGTTACACTGCACCTTTTCCTGAGTCTTACAGCAACATTCTTTAGTCTGATTTTGCATGTGCTGTGAACAGTTTCAACAAAATGTTAACTTCTTATTAAGTTAGATACGTTGTTTAAATACAATACCTTATTCAAAGCAGTCTACAGGCGACTGCTCTTTGTAGGAAATACTGCTGAGAAAGACCAAAGCCTGAAGTGAATTAACTCTTTGTTAAAGATTTCCAAGCTTCAATCTACCTGAAGGTTGCACATTACAAACACATCATTTTTGCCAGCTTTTTGATTGACAGAGGCATCTAAATAAGTAATAATGAAAACTATCATCAGATGTTGGGATTTGAATTTGCTACAAATGTAAATGAGTATGTCAGGTGACCTGCATTGTCGCAATACAATGCATTTGCAGAAATTTGTCCAAGTGCTCCAAAACAGTGGGTGCGCCCTCTATAGTGGTTACAAGAAGCAGATGGCATAGTGCATGAGCATAGTCAGCTAGGCACACAAGTTGGAGATGTAAGCTGAGATAATAATTAGCTATCCCAAACTTAAAAACAAAAAAATAAACAAGTAAAAGACATTTTTCTTCTGACCCTCTTTAGGTTAATTAAACCTTTGTTTGGCTAATTGGAAGAAACAAAATCTTGGAGTGGTTGAACTCAAGCATAATAAATGCCAGTAGACACATTGCCCTGATACACTGTGATCTGTTTTCCTGTGAATATAGTTGTTCCATAACAAAAAGAGTTGAGAAAGGATTCCTAGAACCAGACATTAACTGGAGCATGTTTGCGTGAGATAGTCAGAATCACCATGCTGAACATCTGGTCTTGTCACGGCCCTCTGTCTGCAGCAAACTGAAGAAGCTGATAAGATACATCAAGTCAAAGAGGCGTCCTTTCCAGGAGGAGGAACGGGAGAAGAAGTTGCAACATTATGAGACGGACTACTTTTTAGATCCTTTTGCAGGACTGACTCCAGAGTACATGGAAATGAGTGAGTAAAAGCTGCAGTTACCACATACACACACTCCCCCAATCCTCTAGCTTCATTTTGTTTGTGTGTAGAAAACATGTACAATATGTCAGATTTTAAAACTGTCTTGTTTTGAAGCAATATGTATTTATATGTATTTTATGTGTGTAATTTCATAAGTCACAAATTGCACAAGTTGTGTACTTCCCAATTTGTCAGATATATGTGAAAACTATCCCACGGTCTCCCCCCCCCACCACCAACAATTACTCCTTTTAAACTCCACAACTCAAAAAAGAAATCTATTTCGTTCTGAAAGAAACTAATACTAGGGCATGTGGGCCAAGACACACCTTGGTCGAGCCAACACACTGGCTGGGTTGTAGTCATAAACAACATTGCGGTCATTCTGCATCCTATAAGCAGTTCATTTACAGTTGCTTTACTACTTTAGGATTGAGTTGCATATCAGTTTTGTCACCGTCTTGGAAGAAAGCAGCACTACATATGCATATATATATGTGTGTGTGTGTGTGTATATTTCTTAGCCATGTCATCTTTTTCAGAAGTAGAACGTTGAGGACTGTCTTAATGGTATTTATTGGTTTTAAACTGCTGTACAGGTAATGCACCACAGAAGAAATAAATAGAGCATAGCAGGTTAAGAAAGCCCCTATAAAGCAGCAATAAATTCTGAGATAAGCAGAGAATGGAAAAGCAAAAGAAAAGTTATATACAGTAGTTTCTACTGCTCAAAGCTGCAGACGGACTCTGTAGGCCAAGAGAATGTGTTCAAAGTTAAATGTTACAGTACATATATGAAGATGACAGGGGCTTTTAAAAACATCCTTCTCCAGGTCATTAAAATAGATCCCACAGAGACAGTTTACATGAACTTTCACATTTTTAAGAAGTGTTTTCTAAAGATAAAGTAAATGAAGAACTTCAAAGCAAGCCTCATCCTTTGAGGTGTTAGCGGTTGTGATAGCAGGGGATAAAATTCTGTCAATAGAGGCTTAATTGATTCATTTTATATTTACACAGTTTAAAAATTCAAAAGGAAAGCTGCATTTTTTGTGTTGAATAATGCAGTTACAGATTGTTTAGCCACTGTTGGTTGCTTTGATTAGTGGACAAAATTTATTCAGCTAATTAATGGAACTAAGGGTGTTTCAGCAATAACCAAAAAACAAAAAAAGATTATCTTCAAGATTTTTTTGCTTCAGAGCTGAGGGACAACACACTACTGACTCTTTTGAAGGATATGTGGATAAGGTAGCTTTTAATATTTAGACAGTCTACCACAGACTCAGATCAAAGCTAAGGCATGACCTATAAATATCAACTTTCTTCATAATGTTAAACATAAGGGCTGTTGTTTATGACTTAAAATTTTTTGCCGGCTGTTTGAAGATGTTTACATATAAAAAAAATGCAAACAGAATAATCTCTATTTTACTTTTTTGTGTGGGTCTAACAGATATATAAGGGTAATATAAGATATTGTTAACATCAGCATAGAATGAGGAAATAAAAGTTCAAAGGTTGTAAGTAGTCAAGATGATACATTTCCTGACGATATTGAAATCTGGTTGCTTTCCTGAAATTGGCCTTCTTTGCTTTTGCTCTTTTTGTTAGAATTCATGGTTTTTGTTAAAGGAAGGTCAATCTTATGACAGATTTATAATCCATCTTCTGTCCTGTTGCATACAATATTGAGTTTGACTCTGCTCTGTATTTCAAACATGAAAGACCCATTAGTCAGTGGTGGAAGGTGGAAGCTTCTGTAAGCATTCTGGATAAAACAGTCTGTAGAGGAAACAGGTCTGGGTCACACGTAATATATGGCATTAACAAATATTCTTCAAACATTAAGGTTACATTCATGGACAGATAGTGTACCAAGCATCATAATGACCCACAAGACAAAGTCAATGTCTATCTGAAAACTAGAACAAGTGGGTAAAATGTTGTGGTTTTTTACTGAAACCTGAATCTGCAGACATGATTTTATTTAGTGGACATATAGTATATGAAGTTTTTGAAGTATCAGAAAATCAATTGCCTTTCAGGACCAGTAAATATGATGACATAGCGATGATTCCTTCTGAGTGTCCAGGATACTTAAATTTGTTTAAACTAGAGAGAGAGTGATCACCTCACTGCCAATGTGTTTTTCTAATTTGTTGGCTTTTTATTTGCACAAGGCGGCACGCTCACAGGAACAATCAGTGAGCTCTTTTTCTTTTTCAAGTTCTTGTTCTTTTTGTGATCTTAAAAGGGAAATGTGGAGATGGACTTTGTAAAAGACAGATAACTTAAGGTAGACTCTGTCCATTCCATTGATTAACACCATTCAGCAAAAACTAATAAACTTCTAATCTACATCTTAATAAGATAATAAATGTTTTTGAGCAAAATAGCTTGAACTCACTTTTCCTGGAAATTTCAGGATTTTGTACGTTATGTTTTTATAAAATAGAATTGCCACCAGATTCTGTCATGTAAACCACCTGATCTGGAATGGCCAGTTGTCTTTCTGCTCTCAGTAATGCCCAAGGCCCACAAGCAGCAGCACTGAAACAATTCTGCACCACTGCTTGGGGAATCCCTGTCTCAGTCAGCTGGCGACATGACCCAGCTCTGAACCCTTGACGTTTGGATTTTACAAGATTGGTCACTCGGGAGCCCTCCATGCTCTATATTTAAGATGATAATGATTGAAGTAGCTTGAAAAAAAACCCCACATGAAATCATACAGAAGCATTAGAACATTAATATCTAATCTCTTTGTTATGAAAGTGTTGAGCCTTACCACTGTGGGGGCTGATCAGATTGCAACATTTTAACATGATTTGGCCTGGTTAGTTAGTGTATTCAAGGATCTGTAGAAGACTTGCACTTTACCCTCCTGGTAAATTAACCAAAATTAGCTCTACAGAAAGGCGTTATGTGAGAGTACTGTGTACAGCATTCTCTCTAAAGTATTCTCCTGGCATATTTTGAAACAAATAACACTTAGGTTTTCACATGTAAGGCTAATGTCTAATATAATAATAATAATAATAATAATGCTGTTTTATTTAAAAAAATATTTTAAAAAATCAGCTACCCTGATTTAGAAATACCTAGTAAAAATACAACATATACCATATTGTATAATCGAACGTCTTTTCCAGATATCAAAATTCCACAGTCTAATTTTAAACATGAAGAAGATTATAGTTTTAGGTACCTGCTTAACCAGTTACATGAAGTCTTCATCTGAACTGTGCAGATTTATCTGATGAAGTTGCAATTAAACCCCATTGCATACAGTATATCTAGGCAGAATGGAGTGGTGCGATTCATTTGGGAGGAATGGGTGTTTATGTAGATCTTGATGGAGCTCTTGAAGCCTGTTGTGACCTGTTTGAGGGGTCTCAGCAGACAGAATACACAAAACACTTTGCCCACAAAGAAAGGAAAACTCTTGTATCTTGGACAGGAGTGTACTGTGCCGGAAGACCCTAATCTTCAAAATAAGCCTTCGACGCATAAATAGATACAAATCGGAAATCTTTTTATTCATTTTGGGGATTTAATGTTGATGGACGGGCAAGACCTTCCCCACAGCTGTTTTAATCTCAGAGTAACTCAGTCTCATCATCTGTGCGACAGATCAAAGTCTAATGTTGTAAGTGAAAACTGTGGTACTCTCTCCCTGTCCCTGGCAGATTGTCAAGGGAGAGCCAGGGTGGAATCTATCCTGATCACTTTTCCTCTCGTTCAGTTCATTTAGAGCTGTGCACAAGTGCAGTTGAGTCATATCACAGGCATGTCAGCTCATACATTTTCACGCAGAAAGCAGCATAATGTTTTATTTTTAAAGTATACTACCAAAAGAAAGTTGGAAAAATAAGATCTGTTTTCTAAATAGTTGGTTGTTAGTATGTTATTTCTAAAATGTGTTTGCCTTGGATGGAGAGAGTATGACATTGTCAAAACATGGGGTGCAAAAATAACTTTTATTTCTTTTTGCAGTTATACAGTTTGGATTTGTTACCCTGTTTGTGGCTTCATTTCCACTGGCGCCGCTGTTTGCTCTGTTAAATAACATCATAGAAATCCGCCTGGATGCAAAGAAATTTGTCACTGAGCTCAGGAGGCCCATAGCTGCAAGAGCAAAGGATATTGGTACGTAACAAGTGTAGAATTTATTTTATTCTTCTTTATGATATTTAGTGCATATTTAGTGATATTCTGGTAAAAAAAAATGAACTGCTGATTTATACTAAAACCAAAAAATCTAAAACGTCTCAAGACCTCTAAGCATGTGCTTGTAATTACATTAATAGTTCAGGCAAGTTCCAGTTGTAACAGGGCCCTCTATACACTTTAGTGATTAATTCAGCTGTCATTTTAACACTTTTCATCCCATCAATCATGGCCAGTTCTGTGCTTAATGGCTAGCATCCCCTAGTGGTGACTGTTAAACTTACAGAATGTTTTTGTTGATAAATCTAGCACACTAATTTACTCAGTCCATCTTGTTCAAATGATTTGACATGAATGTATTTTTGTAACTTGGGCCTTTAATTACAGAAATAGACATTTTCAGCAATGATCTGACCTGCCAACTGACATTTCGACTTATGTTTTAGGTATCTGGTACAACATTCTTAGAGGCATTGGAAAAATAGCAGTCATCATTAATGTAAGTGTTCCTCTTTTAATTGGAAAGACAAATGGAGCAGTTCCCACAATTATACTTGTTTAAGTTTAAGAATTTTCAGTGGGTGCATTAAAAGATGTCTCCTTTTTCAAATTCACTGCTTTGATAGCAGAAAATTAAACTATTATTTTATCATTTTTGGTGCAGTTCCTTTTTGTACCATATGATTTTGGGATGGCCATCATGTTGCTGTGACCGTCATCATTAAAAATGAATCAATATACTCATTTTAATGGAAAAATAAAAATGCAAGACAAATTAAAAAGTGTTTGAAACCATGGTAATCTGAGTATTTTTCAAAGAACTAAAGCACTTTGAGTAACGTATGAAAGTGATATAAACAGGGACAGTTTAAGAGTCTTAAAAGAGATTTTGGTTATGTAAAAACAAGTTTTTATTTCTGTTTTTTGTAAGGCAACATTTGAAAGTATCCTGATGTCTGTGTTTTAGGATCAAATTGCCTCTAGAGACAGCAGATTATTTTGCTTTGTGCTCTCTTTGGAAGTGAATGATGTTATAGTTAGGACTGGCAGTATCCCATTAAATCAAAGCAGTCATACAGTATTAACATTTTCTGTGACTCCTTGTAAAATATAACCATTACCCTCCCTGTTGCATAGTTTTCATGGAAATCAATTTAAATAGTTGACTTAAAAAGAGAAGAGAGCTATAAATGGTCACTAACAACATTTTTCTGGCTGGTTTTAAGACAATAAAAAAGATGTCCAATGTCTTTCTGAAAGCGTTTACTCTGAGACCTAAGACTGAAATCTAAATAATTTATTGTCAGCTGTGTAGTCATGTCATTTGCCAAACCACTCACCATATGGTGTCGCAGGAAGCCGGAGGCTACCCAGCAAGCATTGAGCACAAGGCAGGGTACACCTTGGACAGGGCGCCAGTCCTTCGCAGGACAAGTGCAAGCTAATCATACATGGGGACAATTTGGAGGCCACGGTAAAGGCCGAGGGGGGGATAACTCCCTAATTTTATCGAGAAATGTCCAGGGATCTTTAATGACCACTGAGAGTCAGGACCTCGGTTTAATGTCTCATCCGAAAGATGGTAGCTGTGTAGTTTCAGGATTTATTTTCAGATCATGATGAGATTGTAGGTGATTGCAGTTTTTCTTCATCTTTTCAATTAATATTTAAAATTTAAAGAGGTCTTTTTTAAAGCTGTACCCCTGGGGGGAAAAAAAAAACAATTCCATTCTGAAGCCCATTGATATAAAATGGAGAATATCATAGATATTCTAACCTCACAGTTCCTGACTACTGATACAGCTAGTATCCCACAAGGATGAGTCCACGATAGAAAACATTCCAAATAAGGCAAATTAAGACTTTGCCAGAAAGGAAACTCCTTGCATGAATTAGAGACAAACAAACAATCATGTTTGTCACAATTAAAAGGCACCACAGTATGATAACACAAACAGTATTGTGTCAGTACTTTTGTCATGCCTTTTTTATAGAATCTGGAAAGATCTTTGCTACACATTCGATTCTTTATCCATGGTAATATTTATCCATAACCGTTCCACATCAATGGACGTCTAATTTCGTTTTTCGTTTTTAAGCATCTTATTCATAAAACCGAATGTTAAAACAAAACGTCATGAATTTAAAACAGGATTCCTTTCACTCTGAAATCTAGCAGCAAACAAGGAAATGTATTTTGTTAGTGTTTTCCATAATGCTCTAATTGTTCATTTTGACATTTTGACCACCCAGGCATTTGTGATATCATTTACATCCGACTTCATTCCACGCCTGGTGTACCAGTACATGTACAGTCCAGACGGGTCAATGCATGGCTTCGTCAACCATACTCTGTCCTACTTCAATGTCAGTCACTTCCAAGAGGGAACTGAGCCTCACATCCCCTCGAACCTGGGCTACAAAGTGGAAATATGCAGGTACTGATTCTCACAATTCTCTGTCATGCACCACCTTAAGGTACAATCTGCCCTATTTTTTGCTTAGGCGATATTTATGCTTAATGAAATCCCTTTTACAAAGGAAAAGGCAATCATATGATTCATAATAGAATTTTATTGTCTGATGACTTTGTTTCACTCAAAACACAAAATATTCATCTCTGTAGTGAAAAGAGCCCAGCGAAATTAATGTCATCACAGTTAATACTAAATCTTCAGAAGATACTGACCCATGGTCAATTGATATAAGAAGTAGTTTGCATTTTAAATGACATTCGTATGAAAATGTTTTACTTGCTAACTGAAAAAATAGGAATGAACACTGATGTTGCTTTTTAATAATGGAAAAAATACGAGTCGTTTGTTATAATCATTCCACTCAAATCCATGCTTGGAAGTGTGCCACTGCGCAAAGCTTTTAAAAAACGTCTTGTCAATTGTTGCACTTGGTCTGCTCTCTGTTGAGGGAGTGGGATGGAAACTTTTTGGTCTAAATATAAAAGACATAATTTATTACACAATCTGCCAGTCTCTGGTTTAACTTCAGTGTTCAGAGTGCTGTAATTACTGTTTTGTTTGATGTTTAACGTTAATTATAATTTTCTTCATTCCAGATACAAAGACTACAGGGAGCCTCCATGGTCCCCTAGTGCATATGACATCTCCAAAGAATTCTGGGCTGTGCTGGCAGCTCGGCTGGCATTTGTAATTGTCTTCCAGGTCAGCAACTATCACAGCTTTTCCCTTTCTTGGATTTCAGCTTCTGAACCTGAAACCTCAAGGTGTTTTCCATCACACCATGAGACAAGATTCCCAGAGATCTCTTGTGACCCATCACCTTCTTATTAAATCAAAAATGATTAGAGCTCACAACAAAAGGTTCTGGTTCTCACTGGCTCTCTAGGATACAAATACAAAGCTTAAGAGCATTTCCCAAGGAGTTCTGATTTTCCTCTCCATGTGACCTAGTGATTGTCCTTCAAACCGCCAAACATACATTGTCAATAAATGCTCATTCTTCTTCATAATTACATTGGGGTTTGTCTCTATCTACTAAAATAACCCTTCTGTATATATTATAATTACTAACATTACTCCATTAGTTGTTGGTGACAATTTGACCCAGGGCTCTCATCCAGAATATTTTGAAGTGTTCCAATGGATTAGCTTCAGTAACATGGTTGAGAAGTTTGTTTCAGACATCCATGTGTAACGAAATGTCTTATTTTGTCTCTCCTGTTTTTCTACAATCTTCATTCCAGTTTAAAAACATGATGTTATTTCTGAGGCAGATGCTTTCAATATGCTAAATCTGTTCTTAATTGTATCCTTTCTCCAGAACGTGGTGATGTTCATGAGTGACTTTGTGGACTGGCTGATCCCAGACATTCCAAAGGATATCAGCCAGCAGATCCATAAGGAAAAGATTCTGATGGTGGAGCTCTTCATGAAAGAGGAACAAGGCAAGCTGAACATGCTGGAGAGCCTCGTGGGAAGAGGCAAAGATCCCAAGGGCATGGAGAACTGTAACAGCCACAGTCCCAGCCCACAGGCCCATGAGCTCAAAGGAAGTGCTGTTTCATTGAATGCACAAAATGTGGACATGTAAGGATATCTTCAGGGAAAAGAACACATAGCATCAAACATGGAAAAGATTGTTTTTTCTCATCTGGGCATTCCACAGGATTATAGGTACTTGAGAATACAGGGTGGCAAACTTCATGATATGTCAGTTTTTCCGGTATGTTTCTGTCAGTCTCAGTTCGGTCACTGCTCACCAAATGCAGGGATCCTACTAATATGAAGGACCACATTCCGAACAGAGAAAGATGTTTGTTTTTCTTTCGCACAAAAATTCAAAGCAGGGAAATATTGTTAATAAGGATTTAGTCCAAATGTTTTGGATATATTAGATAGTTGCACTTCACAGAACACATCAAACCCTGATTTAGAGTTGTTTTTCTTACAATGTTGATTGCAGAACACACACATTGCACTTCCCTTTAATAAAACCTCATTTTAACGTGTGTTTTCAGGTTTCATAATTGGGAAAGCAAAATCTATAAAAGATTCAGCAGATTTCTAAGTCACAAATACATCAAATCCTACTGATAAAATGTTCGTGATGACTAAAATGAAAACAGCCCAAATAGTTTTTCTGCAAATTATTAGAATTTGGCCCACTAAATGCCTGAACTTACTTTTCCACTTTTGTCTATTAATACACACTTTACAGTTCTAAAATGTCTGCCATTAAGGTGTATTTATGTATTGACATACTCAATGTAAAAGCTACCAAACATTTCAAATAGCAATACTTAGGTGTTTGAAGTAAGCCACCCAGATTCTTAGAACTCAAATTTCACTTACATCTTAATGACCTTGTACATAAATAATGCCTCTTGCGTCAAGAAACACTTCTGGATTTCATATTCCTTGTGCATTTTTTTAAATAAGTTAAATCTGTAAGATATAAACCGGAACGCTAATAGGTTATTTCACTATTTTAAGAGAAAGGTGTTGGATGTAGAATACTTGACTTTATGCTGTTTTATCAAGACATTCTCATGTTTATTAAATCCTTTTAAGTCTATGCTATCGTGATTCCTGCCTAATACTGAATAATTTCACCTTGGCCTACATCTGTCTAAAGCTATTTTTGTTTTGTTTTTTGGAGTATTAGCCCTCATTACTTCACTGCTTAAGTGTGAAACACTTTTGTTTATATGAATCTGGCTTTAAATTTTGTAATAAACAGTAATATATGTCAGAAAAATGTACTCATATTTAACCACTGGGTAGTAAAATACCAGATATACCAAATTATTACAATGCAGCTATCTCCTTTATTATATTCTAGTACTAATTATTAATCATGCAGTATGACTGCACCAAACTAATTGAAAGTCTGAATTAGAAAGTCCCACACCTGACTTGATTTTTGGGCATACATAGTGATTCTTCTAATAAATTGCTTAATTAACAGCAGTCCACATAGCAGATGTAGCAGCGTACATAGGCAATGTAATACAACCTTTCTTTTTAATTCATGAAAAACATTTTGTTTGCAAAATTTTCAGATCATGTTAAGATTTCAAAATACCGGGGCAAACACATTGCAAAAACATGGTGTACAGGTTATTTATTTTAATGAACGAGTCTGTTGTATGCACCGGTATAATAATGTGTATAAAGAAACAAATACACTTTAACCTCTTTGAATTCTTTAGATGTTTTATTTGTCTCGTGTTTTTATTTAAATTTTGACGGCCAGGTTTTATATTTTTTGAGGTGGGCCTTTTGTCCTTTTTGAGAAACAGTCATCATGTTACAGTCATGAATGTTCACTATAATATTATGATTTCATAATATTAGAAAATAATCCTCTTCTCACATATTGCCTGAAAGGTACTGATTTAGCTGCTTTGAGTGAATCAATGGAAAATTAATGGATTGAAACCCTGAGACGTTCCTATTTATAATGTAAGGAGGAGGCAGAAATGAGATCTAGTCCGAAATCCTTGAAGAAGATCTCTTGAGCTACAGCATCTGAGTACACGTGAAGTTAGCTTTTGCAAAATGCAGCAACTCTTTATGTACAGTAGCTTTATCTTCTGTGCATGGCAACAGAATGTTATTTTTTCTGATATTTGTTTCAAAATATAGTCCTATTTAATGTTTTGAGTATTGTTACATGTTTTGTTTACTATTAACTATCATAATCTTTTTACTTTTCCATATAAATATTTGTATACTTTGTAAAATACTGCTTTTTTCATTGTATAGCACATTACATATTTCAAAAGGCACAATAAAAATTATTTTGAAAAACGTAATATAAAGTGATTCTGAAGAGCCTGTATACAATATTATGTTTTAAGCTCATACAATACATTGTGTTTTCTTTTAGGCTCTTTAAAATTATATTTTGATTATTTGGAAATATGTAAAGTATTGTAGTGCGTAAATCCATTTTAATTTTCTCTGTTCCCAGCTGTGCTCTGAGTAACGAGATCTCCTCTTTTCTAATGTTAGAAATGTGTTTCACTTTTATTTCCTCACTCTAAAATACAATTGGAAGTGATGTGTCAACCATAAAGTGAGCACAACTGAAATGAAACACATCAAAACCTGATCTGGCTTATATCATTTTTTCATTTCCTGCTGTTGTTACCTTTATGAGTGGTTTTCACTTCTGTTTTAAAATATATGCCAAAATGTTATTTTTACTTAAAATGAACATTTCTTAAATTTAATTTCTAATATTTTATCATCTTCTGATCAAGGATGGCTCCTTATGGAATAAAACTTAAATGCTTTAGGTTTTTCATATTAAAAATGCATAAGCAAAACATGTCAACTCATATGAAGCTGCTGTTGTTTTTCATTTTTATTATCCTGTGTCTGACAGAATGTCCCCTTTCTGAGTATTACATCAGTTCTCACATTTTTAGCTTTTTCGTTTTTATATATTTTATATACTGTATATAAAAAAACATATTATATAAATGAACATATATTTTTCATCTGGTGAACAGATTCAGAACAGATTACAGATAGTAAGGTACCACAAAAGATCTTTAAGTTGAATGTAATATTAGTTCTATTTCTAAAGTACATTCAAAAGATACCATGACTGAACTGTTTCAGATCCATTCTTTGATTTCAAACATTTCTTTAAATGGAAGAAAAATAGAATTACTTTAGAGTTTAAGTTTTCAGTCCTTTGGTCTATATTGTATTTTAAACATTTTTTTGGTTCTGCTTTATATTATATTTGCATTGTTGTCACCCTTTTATTATGTTTACATTTACATTAGATTTACTGAGATCAAACCCTGGTGTATGGTATAAGTTTGTTTTGTCACCTGCATTGCTCCAGTGTATCATGAAAATTGAGATATTTTATATGTTAACTATTGTATTCAAATCTAGCAATCTAAGTCAAGTGTCATTGCAATACAGTACATTTCTATTGTATGAAAAACAGATGAAGTTGAAATTGTACAGAGATCTTTTCTGGTTTTTGCTGGGGGAAATTATTAATGAAAAATAAACCTAATGTGAAAGATATTGGTTGTGTTTAAAAAAAAACATCAGGTACAGACGGAAGACAGTACAATCCATAAAGTTTAGAGTTAATTTTGTGTGGACAGTTTATTTCTGAAAATAGAACCTACTGTAATGTGGAAATCATTTTTCGTACACTGCATGTATGATAGGTCTAAATTCCAACCTACTAATCTCTTAAAACAATCTCCAATGCCTGTGTACTGTATACAGTATGTAACAAGTTTTATTATGCTTTGATGTAACAATGTAACATTTTAACATGTTTACATAAAATATAACATTTTGGTACTTAAAATCCCACATACACTATGATAATGAGTAAAGATTTTTTTAAAGTGACGTATTCTAGACAAAGAAAAAACAATGACAAACATTACTTTGTAATTTGAATACACAAAATATGAAATATTCTATAATCATCGCATGTATTTAGATGCAAATTAAATTGCCTGTGCATAATACTGCTGAAACATATAATCATAATAAACAATAATGTAAGAGAACTTACAAATGAGAAGAGGCTGTTAGGCCCATTTAGCTAATTACATTTACAGTTTGTAGTATCTAATTTTGAGCCATTTCTTGAAATAAATGAAGGTACGAGCTTCAACATAAATGATAATATGATCTGACAACCCTTTTTATAAAAACTTCCCTCCTGTTCTCATTTTAAAAAAGCACATCCCCCATTCCTAAATCTACAGTATGTTATGCTAAAACATTGACTTCCTACTTTATATGATCACACTGTCAAATGCAATAAACTGCTTAAGGGGCAAAGTACTGTATTATTTTAAATATTCACCCAAGGGAAGAATTAGGATGTTTTGGAGTCTTTTTCAGGGTTATTTAGCTAATAATTAGCTATTATCTCAGTTAAAATATTGTCCCTACAAACTTTTCAAGCATGCCATTGCAAATACTGAATAACAGAATGAAAATTACTGACTGACTTTTCTAATTGAGGAAATAGTTCTTGCACTACTGTATTTTATTTGAGTCAAGCCACAAACCATTTCTCCCTCCTTTTCTCTCAATTCATAGTGCTGCTAAATTGCAGAAAGGAATATTCCTTTCAAGAGTGTGAAGAAAGTTTGGACAAAGCCTGGAGTCTTGCAAAACCGATTTTTGAAAATACAATCTTGACACGGGACAGATAAATTATGACTAAAGTTCAGGAAATAAAGTGAGAGAAAAGCTTGGGAAATGTAAATAGAGCAAGGAATATTCCATTTTAGAGCACTGTGTTTTCTCACCTTGATAAGCACTTAAGCACAAAGAAAGACAGCACTGCCAAATGAATGCAAGTTCTCACTGTTAGTGAGAACTACTTTAACAGGACCAGAATCGTGTTGTTTTCAACGGGATAAAGAAATTCATCATTTTTATTTAGTCTACCTTTACAGGTTGTGTATCTTACTGGAATATCAGACTAAACTCAACCTGGTTTTAGAAAGTGGCAGTGCGTCTGATGCAGGCTCTAACACCGCAACGGCATTTTACTGAAGAGATGCAGTTGATTTTCTTGAGTACTGTTTTCAAGTATGCCTTGTAAAATTATAGCAGATTTGCACCTGACCTACTCTGTGTCTTTGTTTATTGGCAATATTTGTATTTAGAAAAATTAAAAGCCTCTCCTTTAACGTCCAGTGCATTAAATACCAATGTGTTAAAGACAATTCGTGCTACCCATGTTTCCGTGTTTCTGAATTGGTTCAGAAAATATAAAGGTCACAGCAAGTTCTTGACAACACTAACTTTTAACATAACACAACTAAAATATCCTTTAACCTTTTGCACTTTTAATTTTATTTTATACAACATAATGTTTATTAGGAATCACTGAACTCTTCCTTTTCCTTTCCTCGCTCCCTCAATAACTAAAACCATACGGGACACTTTGTCACATTTTAAAATATATCGGAAAAAACAATAATAAACTTCATATTAAAACCTCTGGACTTTAACGGTGTTTTAGAGTTTTCATAAGATTGTTTTCAGTTCAACAATGTGTATCAGGTTTGTATACATAACGAAATAGTTATGCAATTTTAGTATTACACGCATGTTCGGGAATCGCAATCAAATATGTTTAATTCCACCAGAAACCCGAATGCATCCGAAAATTATTGTGCGGACTCGTCTTACTATGCACCAGAATATATTATTTATGTGGTTAACCTCTCTAGTTGGAAGAGAAGCTCTATCGCCATCTATTGGTGATAGTCTGACTATCAAGTAATGGGACGAGGCAACATAAATCCTTAATGTAATTTCTTAATAAAAAGATTTATATTATTTTCAGATAAAGGACTTTTAATGACTGCGTGTAGACAGAAAGAATCCTTTTCAAAATACAGTATTTGTAGATAGGTCATGTGCCGTCTGATTTTGAATGCCGTTTGAATGCCACACCAGTAGTTGGCGCTGTTTCCTGGCAAGGACATTTTTTTCCCAAAAGGAACTGCTTAGTCAGGAAGTAAACGTAATTTTGAGATGAAGTTAAAGTTGGTATGTTTAATTTAATATTTATTTTTTTTGCAGATTTTATTAGGGCGTTCTATTGGTAAGGTATGCAAATTATATGCTTTTTTAAATATTAAGTGCACAGTCTTGATAAATGTAAAACAATCCGAAAGTGAAAGTAATGGTAGGGGCGCAGCATTAGTTACAAAGCGAAGTCTTGGTGTGTGGTTTCTGCCCTCGTTTATTTGTCTTGACAGACTTTTTTCTTGGCCAAAAATAATTCTGGCTTGAGTGCTGAAAACCGGCTGACCCTTCGAAGACTAAGATGAGCGGGTTTTTAGATGTACTATATCAGATTTCCCAACGTCTGAGTAAAGATAACTTGAACTCTCTCAAGTTTCTCTGCGTGGAAGATATAAAAAAGAAGAAGCTTGAGCAGATCCACCAGGGCACGGAGCTGTTTCAGTGTCTAATCGAAATGAACAAGATTGGACCCGACAGCACGGAATTCCTCCATTATCTCCTCGGACATATTGACAGGCAAGACCTCATAGAGTTACTGCAGAAGTTTGAAAGAGATGGACCCGCCGGACTAAACGACAATCAGCCCGATGTGAAAGAGAGAGGTAAGTTTCAGTAAAACACTTACTGTTTTAAAGCAGTAGATACATTACTCGTCTTGTTGCTTGCAGCTCACATTTGTACCTCACGTCTAAAGATGCAGACACTTATGAAGTTAGACACACATTCAACTTCTGGTCTTATGAGATTCTCTCTTACCGGACCAAATAATTTCCTTATTGAATATGACACCTTTTATAACAGCTGTGAATACTGGAAAAGTGACCTTATCCACAGAGTATTGAATTGGAACGAGGGGTGTGGCTTTCGAAGTGAACTGGAAAACATCCGTTAACATAAATGCTTCGTTTTCAATATGAGGAAGAAAAGACAGGAGTAATTTCTTTACGAACACCTAACACTGGTAGGAGCTCTTTTGAATGAGTGAACCTTTGTTTTCTCTAAAGGAGTTTATCTTGCATATCAAGAGCTCATAAACGTATAGTATATAATAAGAGATACAATACAACAACAGTTCAATACCATAAAACATTCTTTTAAAGGTGTATTAATAATATTCATTAGCTAGAGAGAATTTGAGTCCACTTTAGTACTGTAGGTATTGTGCTTGTGTGCACTATTAAAACGCTGGAGATACCTTTTGTTTTACAAAAAGAGATTGACGACATTTCATACTTAGTAAACCACTCTTCATCCTTTGTTTATGTACTGTAGTTGTGATACTTCAGTTCTTTGGTTTTGTTGATCTTTTACAATGTTTGTCATTTTTGGATATTCTGCCCCCAACACAGAATAGAATGAATATTTTTTCTTGAATCATGTCCATTTGCCAATAGTAAAGAGTGAATCTGGTTTCTAAACATTCCTCTCATTTTGCTGTTTCCTTGTCTGATAATACAGATACGGTGTAGCTCAATTAGTAACTCTCTATTCCAGAAAAGCTGGATGCTGCTTTTGGAGTCATTGTTGAAAACATGGGGAGAGACTGGAGGATGTTTGCCAGAAAGTTAGGCATTACTGATGCCAAACTGGACCACATTAGGGAAAAACACCCATTCAACATGGAGGAGCAGGTGAGAGAGGTTTTGAGAGTGTGGCAGAAGAGCAAGGGAAAGGAAGCCAAGGTCATGGATTTGATAGAGAAACTTCGCGAGTGCAAGATGAACCTCACGGCTGACTTTGTAGAGAAAGAACTGGACTCAATGAAAAACTTCTGCTGAAAAAGGTGAAGTTTTCTTTTGGCTTTTGGAGCTCTTTGTTCCTGTTATACGTTTTAAACACGACATGATCAAAATGTCTATTTGAGGGCTTAACTGTAATGTTCATATTGGTGTACAATTCTCTGTAAATATAAATTCAATACTTGAATGAAACCTCTGAAGAAGGCTCCACAGCTGAAACTTAGTGTTTGTTTTCTTTACCTTTCAGCATGGAATGAAGCTTCACCTGTTCCTTTGCACCCTACGTATGCTGACGCCGATCCCTACTCAAATGTCTAAATTCGGTATTTATTTCTTTATCTCCTAAAGGTAACAAAATTTAGGTTTACACATCCTGGATCTGGTGATAAACAGGTTTCACAGGTTTACAGGAGTTTACAGGTATGGGGAATGCACACTCCAGGTGGTGCTGTTGTGCAGGATTCCCTTATTGTTTTCTGCACAGACCTTTCACTTTTTCAGTTTAACAGCAGAAAATGAAGAGAATAAGAATGGTTGGACTGGTGCTCTATTGCCTCATTCTCCATGTGTCTTCAGCCGATTCTTCTAAATGTGGAACATAGCATTGAACTGTTTCCATTTCCAAAAGCAATATTATGTTTTTTTTAACAATACATTCATTTTAATTTCTGTGATTAAAATAAAATAATCATGCACTTTGAGTATGTTTTATAAATTTTTTTTTTTCTTACTGTTTGAGAGTCTAAAGCAACCAGACCTGGAAGATTTAATGTCTTTTACTTTGGCTGAATGTATTCCCACATGTAGAGATCCAGGTAATATTGTAAATTGTGTTCCCGTTACATGTGTCTACAGTATATATAATCTTATTCATTTTATTAATTAGCGTTTAAACAGTTTTTAAAACATAATTTGATACCCTAACTGTATGGTTAGGATAAGGATCTGTTCATCTGCAACAGAGTTTGGTAATTATCCCATTGATGTCACTTTAGTGATACTTTATTATATTCAATCTACAGTATGTTATCCATATTTATAAATGGCATTTGCAATCAATAATCTAAAGTGTAACAGGATTAAAGTGAATTTCCCTGTGCTCCTCCAGCAAGCAGCTAGCTATAAGGAATATTGTACATTTAGTAAAATGGATAACGTAAGTAAACTTTAAATTTTTCTTTGCAACAGAGTCCTGTTAAATTAGTACTGAAAAAGAGGTTGATGCTTTATTTAAAATTGATTTTCAGGCAAACAGAACAAACAGATGGTTAGGTCTGCCAGATCTTCAGTCATCACTTATAGACTGCCATGAACTGATCAACTGTAATTACCATACAAATATTGTGGTAATGTATAAATATCAACAAGATATCAAAAATGTGAATTATTTCATCGTGCTCTGGTTTCTGAGTTAGTGTTTTCAAATTAGACCTTAAATATACACCTCTGTATTCCACATCTCTAGAATTAAAATGAGGACATGAAGTTCAGTGTCAGAAAAATCCAGTTTCACATTTTAGCTGCAGACTGAACAGGATGTCAAGATTAGTAATGGAGGAGCAAGAAAGGGCTGTAGGACTGCTGAGTGCCAGACTGTCACCACGTGAGGTTTCAAAGAGGATTACAAGCAGCTCCACACAACTGTTTCACAATGAGGCTTGACAACAGCCTTTAAAACACTGGGTATACAGTATCTTCCTACGCCAAGAGGAGGAGTTGAGAGAGGGAGGGAGGGTGGTTGTTAAAAGGTGGATATCCTATCACAGGACAGCTGCACATCATTAGTGGATGTGATAATGGATAGGCCTGCGTTAGTGACGTTATCAGTGGGGTTACAGAATCATTCTACAGACCTCTCAGTTCTCTGCACTTTCAGTCACATTGCTGTGACTGAGTGTGTTTCCAGTCCATCGGTTTTCTTCTTAACTTCTTAACTTCTTAAACTGCTTTTGTGAAGGAGTGGGATAGGATTACCCCGGACTCAAACACTTCTTTGATCAGTGAGGTAGAGCATTTTATGTTCTGAAATGGAGAAAACACACTTTTAAAAATAACACAGAGGCACAAGTAACTAATTTTAGGTCAGAAATTAAGCAAATCAATTTAATGCTTTAGCTGTTACAAATTATCCTGTCTTAAAATAATGCTGTGTTTATATTGGACAAATATTATTTTCACTTAAACACAAAGTTCAAGTTAATATTATTGTTTGTGGGACGCATATTAAAGTAATGTTTAACTATTGCTAACTTAATTTTAATAAATTAAAATTGAATAGATTACCTTACCACATGTAATTAAAATACAGAAATAAAAAAAATATTGACAGGACTGCTTTTGCTTGAGCAATTATGATCATGCTTGATTATTAATTGATTTATCCATTCAGTGTTATGTACCTTGTAACCTGTAGCCTAAATAATTCCATTTTATGTCTTAGTTGTAAAAATTGCAATTAATTCTTCACCAAAAAGTTTGAAAATAATTCTTGTGGATATCTTTCAACCCCTGTATAGACTATTAAAAGCTCACAGCAAAAAAAAATCTGAAATTAGTAAGGCATCACCACACAAATATACTGTTTGAATATTCCCTAACCCCCCAAAAATCCACTAAATCGCACCCCCCTTTTCCTGCAAGACAGGAACCCAGATGATCGCTCCAAGCTGTAAAAACATATTTTAACAGCTCAATAGACCTTACATAAACAGAAAATTTGAGGTACTGCAGTCTTTTTCTACACCACCATTGCAAGGTATTCGCCTAGAGAAAGACTAAAGCTATGTTTATACTGGTGACATACAATATATACCTAACTTGGACAGACTGAAGTAAGCAAGCTAAAGGCAGTGCCATTTAAGTAAAGAATGCACTAGATTTAGAAACAGCTTGGCAACTGGACAAAACAAAACAAAGAAGTCAGGAGGTTTGAGTGACATCATGACAAGTTAAAATAAAACATAGAGATTTTGGTATAAAAAAATAATATGGTAAGATATAACGTATATACAAGATGTATATATACGCATGCATATTGTTCCTATATTGAAACATATCTTATTCTTGACTTGATCAATTAAGTACTAAATCCAGTAACCTTTTAAACAAAAAACAAATCAAATGTACTTTAAAGTGTACTTTATAGGTTTAAAAGAAGCATTTTAGTATGTGAGTACAAACATTTAATATTTTATGGATTATTAATGTATGTAAGATCAATGTTCTTTTCGCAAGTGAAATAGCTGTCATTTTCTGTATTATTCACATAAGGGGCTTATCTATTCTTGAAGGATAACACCACAAGAAGTCAGCCTAGTCTGAAGTAATTATTGGTTGCACAGTAATGCTATTTGCAGTCAGTTCAGTAACTTGTTTACTGTCAGTGATAACACTGTGCATTTAACCTTAAATGAGTGAGTCATACTTGACTGAAAACCATCTTAATGAAGCTAAGAAGTCACTGCTATTGTATATTAAGTTATGCAGTTAAGGACAACTTACTGTAATTATGAAATACAGTATGATTTCTTGAAACACTGTACGTTTGGAGAGGTATTTTATCACTATTCATTCTATCCTAAGTTCCACATAAAGTCTAACTGTTTAATGTTCTTTAATGCATAGAAAGAAAAAGCTTATTAGCACTGCTAACTTTAAATGTTACAGCCTTTTATAACAGAATGCCTGTCACTCATATTGGAAATAACAATCTATAACAAAACAGTGTTTTTGCAGGGCAGTTATGTATCAGTGATCACTTTCCTTCATGCTGGAAATGATTACATACAGTAAATGTTTCTCAGTTTCCAAGAGTCTGCCCAGCAGAGTAATTCACTATGATGTGAACAGATAAAATGCTAGAAACTCAATGTAAAAATTAAGAAAGGTAAACTTCATTACCTTTACAGAACAACAGATAAAATTCTGGCAGCCGCAAATAAGATTAAAAGTAGTCTAAAAAACTAACCATGTAATGGTCCCTTTAGGATAAATAATAGTTCTCATCTCTCATCCTAAAAAGATCCCTTTTTTCTTTTCATTTTCATTCACAGAGAACCATCGCTTTTAGATCTTATTTAAAATTTAATTCCTGTGGCTAAGGATCTGTGCCTGTGGCTAGAAGGTTGCTGGTTCAAATCCCGCAGCCGGCAGAGGAATCCTACTCTGTTGGGCTCCTGAGCAAGGCCCTTAACTCCAACTACACCAGGGGCGCCGGACAATGGCAGACCCTGCGCTCTGACCCCAGGCTCTCTCCCTGTCTGTGTGTCTCATGGAGAGCAAGCTGGGGTATGGGAAAAGATCATTCCTAATGCAAGAAATTGTAAAGGGTTAATAAAGTGGTGACATATATACATATATCCAAGTCTTCTCTTATTTTTGTCAGCAGGAGATGCTGGAGTCCTGTCTTGAAAAACTTTGAAACAAATTAAAATTCAATACAATAACCTTCTTTTGTGCTATTTATAAGCTTAAGCCATCTTCCAGAAGAGCTTGGGACCTCCCTGCATTTTAGTCCTGCCCACATAACTTCCATGTGATTGTGTTGTGATTGTTATTGTTATAAATTCATTGTGGTTTAATGGAATAAAGTGAAGCATTTGTAGGACATCACACCAAGTTGTAAAAAGATGTTGACATTTGTGAAGTCAATGCATCTTATCTAGCATTATTTTAATCAAAGCATCATTTATGGATAGTTGGCTGTGTTGAAACTCTATATTCCACAAATGCAGAGCTTTAGGGAAGATACGTTTTCTGCAGATTTTAACAGAACAATGCTGCTCTTCCACGGTGTAGCTCTGTGTGGTAATACTGTCCTGAAAGCTCTGTCTCTGCACTTGACTCAGCAGAAGGAAGTGGTTGGTGGCACAAGTTAATTCTTCAGTTGGAAATTAGTTGGTAAATGTGGGAGATAATCCACTAATCATGCTGCTAGTAAATGGTCACTTTGACCAAATCTGTTCTTCTCTAGTATGGTTACTGTGTCACAAATCTCATTTCTGATAATGTCATTGTTCACATTTCTTCATTTTAAAGAAGGCTCAATTTCCATATCTGAAGTTGCCAGTGAATCAATGTGTTCCCTCATTTTGTGTTCAATTTTGCACTGTTTATTACAGTACTCCCTGCAGCTGTGTCAATGCCACGCTTCTGTAAGAAGTTATACAATATGTCAACTTTGGGTATGAATAATAAGGCAAAAAAATCCAATTAATGCAGGAAATCAAGGTCATCCAAGTGTTTGGATAGACCATATGCTTCACTGACTGTTTTTCTGTCCAAGCCAGATTGCTCTCAACATTTTTCCATGCATTCCCTTAGGGCATCTAAATTCTCCCAAACAGCACTGTCAGTTCTGCCTTTAAAGTTCCAGTGTGTCCTGCTGGGCCTTGGAATTAATTTGCTGGTTGTTTTAGCAAGAACAGAATATTTTTTTCTGGAACAGAGAAAAAAGTAGCAAAAGCCAAAAGATCAGGAAAATGAGCTTTCCTTTTCCATGTTCATCATTGCTGCTGTTTCAAGATCAGTGAACAAAACATATGTGGGGATATGTTTTGTACCTAATGAATAGATTAGGTACTGGGGAATGTAGATTTTGTACCTAATGAATATTTCAACTTGTTATGGCAGCAGTATTGAACAATCAATTTGCTTCACACTTTCAGCGCTTGTAGCATAGGCATTAGTGCAGTGGACAGATGTACAGTGTATTTGTCATTATATAAAAAGTCCTAAAATCACAGTATTGTCGCTAACTTGGTCTTGGAGGAAATGTCTATTGTCTCCCGAAAAGCAAAAATAATGCTTTAGAGATGCTCCTTAACAATTTCCTGCCTACACACTTGAAACATACAACCTAAATGTCAATTCAAGGCTTAGGATGCTCCTTTAAAATAATTAGAGCTTTTAAATGATGTTGTCATTTTAATTAGGAGTCTCCATCGCACTTTGTTTTGAAAATATCCCAGAACACCCCCGGTGGTCTCTTATGTTCATTGTGTAGAAACAGTCCTTCACCCAGACCAAGTTGTCCTGCTGGTTATATTGTGTTTAAGACTGTTAGCCTTGCAGAATCGCACACTGGTATAGGTGATACACACTCTCTTTGGTGTCAAATCCTGAGGAACCGGCTCCACTGGGATATGTCAAATGTGATGCTTTCCATAAACTGGCAGAAGGCAGCATTGCACTTTGTCAACCAAAAGAAACACAGATTCGTCCTGGTAAGGTCTGGCAATATCTGTGAATTATGGCATGAAGCAGGAATAGTAGAAATGAAATCCAGACCCAACTACCCAAAAGCAAATGACTGTCCCCACCTAATCAGTTTGTACCTGCAGATTCCTTCTTTCTCTCCAGAGTTAAGATACAGGAGTTGTAATAATAGAAGCCAAAGAAGTCTTCGTAACCCTTCTAATTTAGTCTTGTCTTTAATTGCCATGTCTTTTAGTATTGCTTCAACTCAAGAAGCAATTGAGTGTGCTATTTTCTAGCTATTTATACAGAATGTTTTACGATTCCGGAATCCCCTACACTTTGGTCCTGCCCACATGCCTAAACAAGGTGGATCTTTACCCATTTAATTCTATGGAACTCAATGTATAACAACATAACTTACATAAATAACCACAACTTCTAAAACCAAAGAAAGATAAATGTAATTGCACCAAACCATATTCAATTGATTCCAGGGTAAATTCTGCTTTTGTCAGACTTCTGGAATGAGTGACATTCCATGCATTCTTTACATTCTTTACTGGTACCTGTAAAAACACATCAGTCTGCTTCTAACTGTGATTTTCAAATAGCAGTGGATGTGAGGAGTGATAAAGGGATGCATTGACAAATACTCTAGATTGGAATTTGTGGAGGAGCCAAGTTCACTGCTGTTATACACACAGTACGTAGAAATATGTGCAGGGACTACTATATTTACATATAATTAACATCTTTGTGCTGTGTATTGGTAATAATTGTTGAAGTTATCATTTTCATTTTTAATAATGCATTAATGCAAATGATCAAATACTAAAGAAAGCCTTCAGCATAAATTTGTTTAAAATTGTCCATGTATTACCATGCATGTTTTGTATTAAAAAAGTAATAATGGTGAAAAACATACACATGATGGAACATAGAGTATGTAGCTAATGGAGTGACATACCAATCTTTTGTGGCTGTTTTAAAGCAATGCCCTCTTTTTCTGTGTCTATATCAGAATGTATAAAATGCTGTAAAACCTGTAACAGATTTATGTCTGATCAGGCTTTTTCACCATATCCACTGGGAGGTTTCTAATGGCAAGTGTCCAGCTGGTGAATTAGATGCACACTATTAATAATCACAGGCAACACATCTGCTGAGACAGTGCCATCCTTGTCTCCCCAATAAACTGAGTAATGATAGAAGCTAAAATGCAATACGTGAAATATGCATGAGGCCTTTTGTTTTCCTTGACATTTTATTTTACTATATACTTGGGATCAAATAAATACAATGCTCTAAGTATAACATCAAACCATCCATCAGCCAATGAAAAAACAAAACAGCCCGTTCAAAGTATGCATTTCCCATGGTCCTGTATACTCAAGTACAGTTATGCAATCACTTGAAATATAGATGTTAAAATATCCAAGTTATGAGCGAAGTGACATAAACACTTTTTGAGGTGTACATACATATATATGTATAGATATTGTACATGATTGTGTATTGCATGTGCTGCACTTGTACATAAAAATTGCTTAACTCCTTAAACTTAAATTACTTTCGTGATCACAGCACAAATGCTAGTGATGAAAGGAGGGGGTGTTTGTATGCACAATATATAATTAAAAATTATGTAGCCATGCTGAAAGTTGTATAACACATTGTGAGTATTGCTTTCAGCACAATGAGCAGGATATGTATTATTGTGCTTCTGTGAAACAAAACCATGAGTCATCACAAGTCAAACTTAATGAAAGTTACTGTATTCCCAGAACATATACTAACTATAAAAAACATCGAAAGTTACAGGTTGATTTAAGACATGGATAACCTGTGTGTGAGTTGTAAAATATGTTATTTAAAACAAAAAGATATCTATGCAAATAATGCCACTGTTTTCCATTTTCAACTGTATATGATCACATCCACTACCAGCACATTTCAGCCAAGAGGAATGCACTTCATCCTCAGTAGAAGCCAGAACAAAGGGTGTTTATTTATTTATCATGATCTTTGTCTCAAAAATGCTGGTCTTGTGTTTCAGTAAGTGGTGGGCTTTTGATATGTGCAGCATATGCTAAATAACATCTTCTATAAGGAAAGCCCCCTAGAAATATAAATTAAACATCTATTTTTGCCTTACTGGTCTTCTTTACTAATAAAGAATGTGGGGGAACATTTTCGTTTGCTGTATTCTATTTGTTTTGTGCATCTTCTGTGACCAGTGCATTCCTTTTCATGCAGCAGCTGGTAGGTGTGAAAAAGCAGTCTTCTTCTATTTATAAAGAGGAGGCAGAGAGAAGGAAGTGAGAGGGCATGGGGCACTCTGCTGTTCTGAAACGACAGAGTCAGGAGTTAAGTCTGGTTAGAAAGCGCCAATCTTCTCCACTCCTTTTGGTTCGTCCATTTACTTGAATAAAACAAATGAATTATGGAATAGGGAGGGGACTGGAAGAAAACAATGAGCAAGAGCCCTTTGTGTGAGAACTAATTTTAATACTTTTTTTCTCATGTTTTAATGTTCTGATGTTCTTCTATCAGAAAGTCACAGCCTGTATTTCGGGACATTTTTAATGAAGCACTTCCCAGAAATCCATGCACTCCCAGTTAAAAGCACAACTGAAGTCCCATCTTTCCCACAACCATACTGCAGTTATTGTCACTTTGTGGATGCACCAGAGGGCTTTAAGGCCGTTATATTATCCTGGTAAATTGGGAAAAGAAAGGAAAATAGAACACAACGAGGTGTGGAGAGCTTAACCTTTGACCTCCATCTATTCAGAAAGGATGTTCATGACTAATTACAGTAATTTAGAGTGATAGGTCCCTCAAGGCAGGGGGAAAGGCTGGGGTCAGTGAAATGACTAGGGGTGTCAATATGGTCAGGTAATGGTAAATTATTTAAATGAAACAGGAAACAGTAGTATTAGTAATCTGAGTGCTTTATGGTATAAAGATTGATTTCAAACATATTGTTTCTTATTAAATAACTTCTGGCCATGTAAGAATATAACAGCTAAAAACACACCCCAGACAAAGCCATAAAATAAAGGCTTGCATCTTAAACAATTGATTGACATTTTCATCTTTTTCAACCCTTCCTGTCTTCAGTCTCATGTGGGCACATTTCTCTTTGACAAAGAAACGTCAGTATAGTCTTTAATTATTCACGCACGATGGTTAGAGGCTGGTACAGTATATGGAAAAATGTGGGCATAATTTTAAAAAAGCCCTTTTGGCTCCGACCATACAGTACATCTCCAATGGCTACATGAATGTGAGACTGTGAGGCAGATTTTAGGAAGGAAATAAACATTTTAGTCGATTTTAGTAAGAAAATAAAAAAAAAGGTTACAAACAAAATCAGGCCATTAGGCCCATCTAACTCAATTGGTTACTAGTAGTCAATTGGGGGCAGTTTACCTGACTTCACTTGATTTTGGAGGGGGTATTCCCGTATTTAATTCCGGGGATAACCTCAGAGGGCGCTGCAGTTTGGAAGTGGATACTTCCCAGCGCGCAGTGCACGTTGGGAACGTCACGCAGTGATTTATTGGAGAACAGGAAACTGGAGATAACGAGAGCCGAGGCTCCAGCACGGAAAGGGAGAGAAGTAGTTCTGACAGAAGAGGACGACCAAACCGGGGTTGAACCCTGTTACATTAACGGGCGCTGGATGACTTCGGCTTCGGGCATCCCGGAAACAAAGGAATCCGGGACATCTGTATTTCCGAACTGAGGATAAATTGGGATTTTTATCGACTAAGGAGTTTCAAGTATCCCCTCTGCTTCTCACTGCTCCTCGGATCCCTTGGAAAAGGAGTCTGCTTTTCTTCTGGGCTGGTGACGCGGCTGAAAGGAGAGACCCTCGACAACAGAGAAGCAGCGAAGAGGAAATACTGTACCAATTCGATGTTTTCTGTCCGGCGTCCTCCTAGCTGTTTGCGATGGCTCCCTGGTTAATAGAAGCTGGATTATAACGCGTTGCGGGCCCGATCGCTGGTTGCAGCTAAAGAAGATACAAATTGCAGGATTGCCTTAGTTTACATCTGTTTTCCAGAAGCGTTTGATATTATTATCCCACTAACACTGTGGGTATTTGTAGGAGGTTATTATGATTGGCTGTGATCGTTATATTTTACCTTAATAAGGTAACTTAGTTGTTTTTTAGCGCTCGTAGTTCTTAAAATACATCATTAATTCAGGAAGTCACGGGAATCCAAGTCTCTTTCGCTCTTTCGGGCCTTTGGGATTTTCTTTTTTGCCATCTGGGTAGCTGTTTAATATTTTATTTTACGTCTTTGATGGATTTATTACTGTTGGATGGCTTGGAGGATACCTGATAGCACTTTAAATATTGTTTTTCGTTTTTTAAAAAGCTGCTAATAACAATAATCATAAAGGATTGTATTAACAAGCTCATACAAGAGGGGAAAGTGGAATTGACAGAAGATATTTCCTCCTCTCTGGCAAGGTAAACAGTGTTCTTTGTGTATTTATAAATATGGAGGGAGACAGCGGTTTCTTAACCCCCTCGTTTTCTATTGAAAAGTGTTCCTTTGTTTTAGCTAAGCATCCGACTGTAACGCCTGCACACTTGCAACAACAGAGGGTTACTTTTTCTAAGTTTTTTATTTATTTAAATTGTTTATGAATTTGCAAATACAGTGTCTGATGCAAGGTGAGTTAGCTTTCTTTATGTAAGGCTTCGAGATCACGCAGCTCCATTATCGTGCTGTACAAAGCCTTTAAATGAGCAGACACCTCTAAGAGGGCAGTGGAAAACTTAATTGCTTGGTTACCTACTGGGCCTCTGGCTCGCGAATGGAACTAATCAATACACACACAGTGCGTCACTGGCGCACAGTAAACTGTTGAATAAGCGCTTTTCACAAAACTGTTACAGCTTTTCCTTCATTCTGTTACTCCAGACGAACACATCTGCTCTGACAGGTAGCCGCCTCCGCTTATTTTTATCATAAAGGGTGCAGAGCATCATTTTTAGACCGAATAATGTACCTACATAAAAAGACCCTCTCCGCTTTTTTTAAACGAGTTTAATATACAGTAAAACTGGTTTCATTTGAATTGGTTTTCCTTCACAATAAAGGCCAATACTTTATAAAAACGAAATTAGAATAGGAGAATTGGCAGCTTAGTTCTATCCAGCGTATGCTGTACCAATACTGCACAGGAAGGATCTTGCTTGTTTTTCAGGGGGTTGGAATTCGTAAACATTGAGTCTGCTCGAGCTGAAAATATTTCCCTGTGGTGACACATTGTGAGTTTATGAAGAGAAGACCAACGTGATTATTTAAATTCTGCGCTCAATTTATTTTCTTCCTAGTAGAAGAACCAAATATTTTAAGTCAGAGGGTTTTTTCCTGTTTATTACTCTGATGTCCTTTCTGATGATTTATTTGTAAGACATAAACTTCATTTTGAGCAACCAATAGACAGAAGTATGTATCTCTTTTAAAGCGTGTGTCCTAAGTGAATGATCATGAATTATCCCAGTACATTAAGCTTGAAAGCCTGCATTTCTAAGTCACTCCAGGCATTCTTTATGCAGTCAGTAATGCATTTAAGATAATTTCCAGGACCACAGATCTTCCACATTATCAGTTTAAATGGATACAGCACTCTGTGTCAATGGAAAACTAAAAAATAACTTATTGATAACAGATATTGAAGTGCCTAAAAAGTATTGTCCAGATAGATTGTCCTTTTTAATTTTCCTCACAAATTGATTGACATTTATGGGTGTACTTTGTTCCTGTCTGTGTGTCCTCAGACCTACCCGTTCAATAGCTAATAAGTAGATAATATTAACCTTTGCCCCACGCTGTGTATCTTTGTAATCAGAACATGTTTTCTGAATAAAAACACCCATACTCCTTAGTTAAGTACAATTAAACTGCAAATTGTTGAAAGAGCTGCTATCATTAAACCAATAGAAGAATGTTGACATGCAAGTAAGTGGGATTGACTCTTGTGTAAGTGCTATGTTGTAAAGGGATATTATTCTGATTTCTATTTTTGACAGTGCATTTGATAAACGAAAACTAAATGCCTTTAATATTAGGAGCTCTATATCTGATGGCCATAAACGTCTTCCTGAGGACAAATTGCCCAGTGTTGGACATTTGGTTGTAAGGAGCACTGAGCTGAACACAATGGTTTCTGACATGCAAGCCATAAAAAGCAAGTGCCTTTAGCACTGAATGAATGTCTTCAACTAGGGATTTTAAAAGGCATTGCTCTATTGTTTACTGTTTTTTTTTTATCCCACATTTTGTCTGGAGCTTGACTGGTAATTCCTGTAATGTATTGCAGAATGTCATAGATCTTGACCTGGTTGTGACATTTCCTGGGACTTAACTACAACAAAAACCCTGGAAAATAAAGTTGTAATAGTAAAAGGCGGTCAATCTGCAGAGCCTAGCTTTTCATTGTGCAGCGGTTGCTATGGCTTTTGTTTTTATCCTGGTGTCCTAAATTGTGCTTCGCTTCTGCAGAAACCTCAACAGAAGGTCCAGTTCTTTCAAATTAAGATGTGCTGGAACCGAAGTCCGCATCGGGGCCACTGCTTCTGATTTGAAGAAGGCTTGACCGGGGTGAGGGTAGTGCCAGTGTACCTTGAGCTTTGCTTACTGTGCCCTCCTCCTCCAGATGATGTGCGAGGTGATGCCCACTATCAGCGAGGCTGAGATCCCGGCCGGCGGTGGGGGGGGTCGAGGCTCCGGGTCCCCCCTGCAGTCGGACTCGGATGGGCACTTCGAGCAGCTGATGGTGTCCATGCTGGAGGAGCGGGACAGGCTGTTGGACACGCTGCGAGAGACCCAGGAGAACCTGGGCCTGACGCAGAGCAAGCTGCACGAGGTCACCCACGAGCGGGACTCGCTACAAAGACAGCTCAACACGGCCCTGCCTCAGGTAACGCTCCCAGAGCAGCCGGAAGGGCAGAAATAATGCACTTTCAGGTTTCTCCCATCGCTGCCTCATTTTCAATTAAAACAACCCCACAGTGGTAAATTCCCCATTGCCCAAGATCAAATTCCACATCTTGCATTGCAGCCCGTAAGGTTGTGTTCTTTTATCCAGATTGCTGCTGGTTGTATTAGTGTTGGATTATACTAATGTGACTTTTTATTTTGGTAAGAATTTACAGGGATAATTGTGCCTACCTGTTGCATTTCCATAGTTACAGGGAAAATATTCTTTTAACATTCAAATAGTGTTTTTGTGGTAGTTGCTTATGGTTGAGAGGAAGACATGCATCTGTGGCTTCTGTTGGAGGTTAAAAACCATATCATTAGAAATATTACTAAACCCTTTTTATCTGGAATTAGTTGTACTTATTAACAGTTATATAGGTCTTGCCTTTGAGAGTCCAGCTTCCCTTGCTATTAATTACAGTAATATATGCATTTAGCTTAATTTTTCATTTTTGTTATGTCGGTACTCCTGTACAATTGCCAAAGTTTCCTAATTGTATTTTTATATCTACCGTTCATTTCTTTAAAGTAATTCCTGCAAGAAATCATCAATACTGTATGTGGATTGAGTTGCTGCTTACCTCAAGAACAACGAAACTGGTTTATAACTGGTTTAAAATTGTTGATGAATTACTGTTGTCTTTAATTGTTAAACTGAAGACCTGCTCCATATATTACTTGAAACCTCTTCAGTGAAAGACAAATCTCAACTAAGTTTTTAAGAACCATATTTTAACTTCTGTGGTGTTTTATAGAATCAGTGTTTTCACTAAGCAGTTAAGAGTGTGTATAACTGGCAATGTTTAACTGGTTTGTTGTACACATTTTACTTGGCAAATGTCTTCTCAAAGAGATTTGATATTTTACCATGTTGAAACCACATAGTAGTTTGAACATCTAGGCCTCTTTAGTGTGCATTTTAATTTAATTCCATCCTTCACCAGTGGGTAACATGATGCGTAACAGAAACCATGAAAGTTAGTAAAAATGTAGATCGTCAACCTGCTTCAGTCTCTCACAATGGCATTTGAAAATAATAAACTCTTTGTTTGAGACCATTATTTTCCATCAAGTTATGCTTTCGGCTTGTTGACGTGACCTGTTAACCTTTGTACGTGTTGTAAATTCATGTGATAGCATGACAACATATCTGTATGTGTGGGCTTGTAATGATGTGTTTTTTTTCCTGTTGTTTTGTCTGTTCCATAAAGGGAGGCTTTCAGGTGTGCTCTTGAATACCTCTTTTATGTTGTCTTGGTTATTGTTGTACAGCTTTACTTCAGCAATGTAAAAACGTAATATCTTTTTGTTTAAAGAATGAAGGGTACGTTTTATTACATGACGGCAGAAAAGTACTTTGGATCTGTACTAACAATAGACTTATTTTTTACCAGAAGATATTTGCCTCACATTTACAGTTGATGAGTGAGCTTTTGTGTGTTAGCTCTATGGAATTTATGGACTTACACGAAGAATAATAAAGAAAAATCCACAATTTAATTCCATTTCTTTAATGTTTAATCATTTGGCCTGTTGGAAACCTTTACAGTAATCAGGGTGCAGAAAAGCCATTCATGTAACAGAAATGCTTTCTTGAGGATGTTTGTGGCTTGGATAGGGATAGTGTTTTTGTTGGCTTGAAGTGGCAATAAAGCTCTCCCTAATATAGTCTGAGCTGAATCCTACAGTAACTATAGCTCTGGCAAAATTGTATTTTGGTGTAAGGCCCAAAAAGGCAGTAATTGGGGGTGGGTTTAGAAATAAAACTGGTGGGATGACCCTTTTCTTTTTATTGATGGGAGCATCACGGGCCACTTTACAGCTGGGAGATCTGCAGCTACACAAGCATGGCCCTTGTGCCATTAGCAGGGGTACTGGAGCAGAAATGTTGTAATTAAAGGTGCCCTGTGGCTGTGGTCAGCATACAAAGAGGCAATCATCTGCTGGCCTGTTCTTAAGTTTCCGATCCAGCCTCTGTGGAAGTGGGAGAGCTCTCTGAGCAAGAGCTGCTTTGTTGACATTAGGGGTGCTCAGATAGAAACCACACACCAGGGAACATTTGGGATTAGTGAATCAATTAGTGAATGAAATTGCAGAATCCAGTGAATTAGTGAGTGTACAAACTACCTCTTAACAGGTAGGGTAACATTAAAATAAACTTGGGCATAGACCTTTTGTGGATTTTTGATAATACTTGTCTGCTTTTTAAACTGTGCTCATATTTGGAAGCTGCCTGTTCATTCGTGTTGACTATGATATAACAGGGCAAATTCCACCATTGTTTTACCCCTTTTTCTTGCATAATTTTGCTTATCAGCTATTTATGAAATTCTCTTTAGATGACCTTGTTTGTTAACTCTTTTTTTTTTTTGCCTCTAGGACTATTTGAAATGAGACATTCAGATTATTTAATGAACGAAAAAGTGCAGATGGTACTAATAGTGAGTATTGTTACAGGCTTTAGTAGAAAGCTGTAATGAAGATACGCTGAGTTTCTATGACTGTGCAATTTTGTTTAACAGATGCGTGAATCATGGCCAATAACTACAATATTGTGTAGTTATGAGAAAAGAATGATGCTGTTAGGTTTTGGCTAAGAAGTTTTACTTAAATGCCTGGGATAAAACGAATTAAAAAAAAAACCCTCTGGCAACCAAAGCTATATAACAGCCTGAAGGTCTAGTCTTTTCAGTGGCCAGTAGCTAGTACCTCTTCATAGTAATCAGATATTCAGAATACAGTACCTTAGAAATGAGCACTGCTTCTCAACCCTCTTAACAAATGGCTGTTGTGAGTCTATGTGAATTATGAACTTAAAGCAGTATGGCTAGTGGAAATGTTGACCTTGTTTAAAACTCTGTTTATGCTCATTCATGTCTTTAGTGTCACAAAGTAGCCAGATAGATGGGTGGATTTGTCCTTATTCTTTTTATTCAGGATAAAACATTATTTGGTCCTGACGCGTTTTAAGGTGAACTGCAGTCCAAATTTCCTAGACCAGTTAATAAATCTCAATAAGAAAATAAGTGAATGGACAGTATTGCAAAACTTCACAAATCACTAATTAAGCACAAAATCATGATCTTTGTGAAAGTACTGAAAATCACCATCGTATTGCAACCTCTCGTCTCCCCACAGGCGAGAGCGAGAATTTTCTAGAATTGCGACATGATGCGGCCCTTCCTGCTCACTAGTTGCTGAAATGACCAATGTAATGCGACATACAAGCAAATAAGTATAAGTTTTGCAGCAGAACAGAAATGTTCCAACTTGCTCTGCATGCAGAGTCACCAAGTACAACAAGTGTTTGTCAGCAAAACCATCTCAAAGTTGAGAGCAATATTTCTATTGAATTAAGAAAGATGTGTTCACAAGTCTGTTTATTTACAATGTAATAGAGACGCTTCATGTTACTTCAGATTTTGTTGTCTTGTTCTGAACAGCAGAATATGACGCTGTCCATCCCTGGAAATTTAATCTATTTTGTGATGTAAATCTGAGTTTTTTTTTTTTACATTACTGTGTACATTTTACTTTCATTGTGGTTTGAAATTCACTCAGTCTAACCCGGAAATATAAAAACAGCATTTCAGGTCCCCTTTAAAATTGAGCTTTTCATTTACATTAGTTTAGAAAGAATGCAATAATGCTTGAAGAAATGGAATAATTCAGCACCGTGGTGTTTGAGTAGGCAATGTGCTACCTCAACATAAAAGTGTGTGTGGGGGGGAGGGGTGCTTTCCTGAAAAATGAATTTTCTGTCGTTAGTCTCCTTTGATTTAAAATGTAATTTAGTGCTGGGCCTGCCTGGCTCAATGTAATAAAGGAAGCAGAGAGTGCTACTAAATTCTTTCCTTCCTGCAGTGAGAGGTTTTTTTAGAATAGATAAAGTTATCTTACTCCTCTGAGAGTATAGCCATTGGGCTCAACTGCCTGGCTACACAGCAGTCCATTTTCTTTTTTCATGGGGAAGTGGCATACAGTGTGTGTATATATATATGGAATGCAGAATGGCATTCCAGAGCAGTCCGGCATGAAGTGTTATGTATGTTGAATGTCACGGGGATTGACGATGCAGTAGTTATTGTGAAGCCCAGGACTTCTTAGATTCAAATAGATTCACAAATGCCTTGTTTTCTCGTGAATTGCACAGAAAGAGTAGTTATGTAAACTGTGGGATTGCCGTGTGAGACTGTTTTACTGTAATGGGCCACAAGGACTTAAGCTTGATTATTTTGCTGTTTTTTTTGGGGGGGGCAGTAATGAATTTGAATGTAAATATAGTAAATAGGGATTAAGGCTGTATAATCCACTCTGCCCTACTGTCGTTTTAACCCACAATGTGCAAATTTTCATGAGCCTCCCCTGACTGACAAATTAAAAGGGATTAAATCTCGTTGAGGTCTGAGATTCTGCGTTTGTTTCTAACAGCACAGTGTGGTCTTTGTGCTTGTGAGAGAATAGAGCACACCTCATGTGATTTATTTTTTTTTAGTCAGAAGAGGGAACAGACTAATTAGTCTTGTGATGAGAGCTGAAGATGAAAGCAGGGTTTATGGAAAGATGAAAATGGGTTGTGCAGACCCCAATAAAGCAGTGCACATGTTTTCCCCACTGGATCGTGTGTCTGCCCATATTTCTCCATCTTAAATAGTTTCCACTTGCTAGAAATCGATCATGATTTGGGGCCCACATCATATGCAGCAAGTTCATTCACGGAAAGCAAAAGACTATTCTTTCTTTCAGTAATTGTACCCTAGCAGGTTTTGCTGAGTCCCCAATTTAAAACCCTGAAGTGAAAACTGTGCACCAATGTTAGAAATTGAGAGGAAAACCTACTGTCCTCTAGATATGTGTCGTTATCAAAATAGATTCTTGTGAGTGTTGGGGGGGGGAATGTTAATGGCTAAACTTTAAATGGTTTCATGACTTGTAGTT